CTTTTGCATTCCTGGGAGCTCCAGTTCACAAGAGCCTTCTTACCCTGTTCAATGCACAAAGACAGCTGTTTGCATATAGTGCTGTCACACCCTCCCAGGTTTGACCAATAATGAAGGGAAAGCCTTGCTAACACAGCACCTTTATGTTGATTCTAGTGCTTCAGAATCTGGTTAGAGCATAGATTCATGTGGCCATGCCTTTTCATTAGGAACAGCTTACTTTTTATAAAGAAAAAGAAAAAGGCCACGTTTTCCCTTTGATAAATTACTTAAATCAACTAACTGCACTGACTAATTTATTAATGCTTTCAGACTCACCACAAGTATATAAACACACATTTAAAAACTGACTGACATGAATATACTTATTGTGTAAAGCTACATTATTTTCAAGGCATGAGCACTTCACCGCGAGAGTATTTATTCCTTGGCACTTCCTCTCCCTCTCTCCAGCCTGATTTATAAGGTTCTGTAGTTAATTTGATGTTAACATACTGCCTTACAGCTATGCTGGTATTCTTCTTCAGGAATACATTTTCCAGATTGTCACTTTAGTCATAAAGTACGATCAGAATATTTCAACTCCAAGTGCTGAAAGTCTAAAGGGAAACTTTTGGTGCCTCCATGTTTATTGAGAAAATTCTCTCACCGGTCTTGTATTTTCTGCTTTAAACCCAGAACTGTATTTCAGTAGACTCACTTAAGTGATACCAGTTACTTGACATTTATTCCCACCCCACTGTGAGTGCTATAAAATGATCACATTCTTTCCAATATTTTATACCATAGCTATGCAAGGTACTAAAATAATGTTAAATATTGGTGAATGAATTCCAATTTTATTTAATTATCTAAATTCCTATTTTATTTTATTAATTTTATTTCAGGGGTTGGGATGATTTTAATTCAAACTCATTCAGGGACGTTAGGTACACTCTGGAGCAGCACCAATACCCTTGCGTGGGAGATCAATACAGATCAAAATGAGATCAATACAGATGAAACTGGACTGATGAAAGACCTTTTTAATTGTATCCTTACTGAATTCACACCATTCCCTTCAGTTGTTTACTCTGAGCTTGGCAGGACAGTACAAGTAGAGTTCTGTATGCAGCTGCCTCATCGATTACTATTATTTATTGATATACCAATGAAGGACAAAATAGGCTTCTATTACTCAAACTGTAATAGGGTCTGTGGCTTACTGCCATGAAAAAACAAAAAAAGAGATATGACCCATTGATTTCCTAATATGCAGTTCACTCTTACGCACTGTGCTACATCACCTCATTGACAGTACGCCCTCCAATGTGGTTTATCAAGAATTTATTTTTCTCAGTCACATACTAGAATTTCCTGAGTTATTTTTTCCCTTAGGAATTCCTTAGCTCAGGGAAGCTTTTATTGTTTGATGTTTTAATTTGTAGGAAGCCACACATAGCGGCTGGGATACCCCAGTCAGATAGTTGGCATATTATTATTATTATTCCCAACTATATGCCATGAAGGCTGAGGCTGTTGGGAGTCCAACAAATTCTGAAGGGCCACAAGTTCCCCATCTCTGCCCTAGATCCTAAGAACACTTTTGCTTAGAAAGTTTAAATGCAATACAATCCTATGATGTCAGTTCAGAGCTGAAGAGGTCAAAGGGCAGGCATCCCCAAACTCGGTCCTCCCAATGTTTTGGGACTACAACTCGCATCATCCCTAGCTAACAGGACCAGTGGTCAGGGATGCTGGGAATTGTAGTCTCAAAATATCGGGAGGGCAAAGTTTGCCTATGCCTGGGCTGTGCAAGTTATGAGAAAGAACTGAAAAAGTTGTTGGCAGATTACTTTGGTGACCCACCATTACTAAAGTTGCATTTGGATGAGAGACAAAAATTATTTTCAGACACCACATTTAAAAGGTTTGGAACTACTGCTATTCCACAACAAAAATTATAGGAATTTTCCTTGTGCCACAAGGTGGTGCCAAAAATCTACTAGATCTCACAGGTTTTCAATAAGATGCTCTTTTCCAGAAGAAATTAGTTATAGCTAAAATCAAAAGATTATTTACTTTTGAAGAACCCCCCCTTCCCCTTTCATTGCAGCCCATCACATTCCCTCCTCAAGATACCTGAAAGACATGGGACTCTGCAGAGTGAGATTTAACCTGTTCTTGAGAAGATGCAGTTGGGAGTAGAAAAAATAACTATCTTCCTTAAGTCCCACCCTGCATCCTGAGCAGTCCAGAAGCACTTTCTGCTTGCACACCATTCATTTTTTAAAAAGCGAGTAGCCCACAGGTTCATTCAAAAAACAAACAAACAGCAAATCACCACCAGATTAAAACCAGTTCAACGGCATGCTGATATGAAAAGGTCTTTACTGTGAGTACATGGCATAAGATACTTATCAGCGGGCATGCCATAATTGTTTACACAATTGAGAAAGTACCTCTCTCCAGGTACTCTGCCTAACCTCAACAGGGGGACTCAATGGGGGTTTCCAAATAAACCTATTAGGTAGGCTTGTGTGGGAAGCAATTATCTGTCAGGTACACCCATGCACAAATATTGCTTAGGGTTCTTTGTATCCAAGGCCATACAGCAGCTGTTGCAAAAAGGGTATTCTATACAAACGTGTACAATTTTAGGAATTATTTACATGTATAAATTTGTTTTTAATTTCTTTTTAACTTTTTAAATTGTTATTTTTTGGCTTTATGTTTTCATATTGTTGGAATATAACTGTGATATATTTCCATGATACAGGGGCACAGAAAAATTTGAAAGAAAGCAAAAGTTCTACTTTAAATAAGCACATAAAAAATGACAATGTTTACTCATAGGACTCCTATTAGTGAAAATGCTGTGGGGGGGTGGGGTGGAAGAAAAAACAAAGTGTCCTTAATGCAACAAGTTTCCAAACATATTTTTAGAGGCAAAAGGACTCGGAACTAAAGAACACTATTTTAAAATATTAATATTAATAACAATATTAATAGGTAACTTTTACTGTCAGTCACTTGAGTGGATGTCAACTCAGTTCATGATTACTGTTTATAAAGTGAATGGTTGTCCCATATAGCACAATGAGCACCAAACTAGAGACTTTTTCAAATGAAAATTCCCCAGGATGCCATTTCCTTGAGCACTGGAAAGCCTATTTAAAAATGAGAAGAGAAGCAAATGAACATAAAATAGCCTCAAGACCTAAGCTTCTTGCAGTTTCCCTGCCTGCAACCTTTCTGCTCCAGATTACCCACAAATGTCTGCCTTTCAAAACACACATTTTGCGCTGCGTAGGAGTGTGTGCATGCAAGACAGAAATCCAGAGCAAAGACATCTTTGGACAGATAGTGTTAAGCAACACTTCCCTAATGGTGGGGCGGCAGCCCACTTAGCTACTTTTTTGGGAAGGCTAGAGGGGAAATGATTTAGCTAAAATTGGAGCAATTCAGATACCTGGCTAGTTAATTTCCAGTAAACATCCACTACCTTTTTCTCCTCCAAGCAATGCTCCACTCTTTCTCCAGTCCAAATTCCTAGTACCCAAAGCAGCTTCCCTTTAACTAAATAAGAGAATCATTTGGGCTTATGCTTTTCAAACGTAGTTCATCCCAAACTCACATTCCATGAAATATAGGTCCAGGCAAACCAACTATCCCCCTTTTTTAAAGGGGTGAAATGTTAAAAGATGCAACTGTCTTCATGCCACTTCATGTTGTGCACAGTTCTAATCCCACACAACAGGCAAAGGTGGCAAATGGAAAAGGTGTGTAGTACAGATAGAAAAGGTACTGAAGACAATCCAGCTTTAGTTATTGACATCTTCCTCATGAAAAACACTGAAAACCTTAGAAATGCAAGGTGCTGGGGCAATATTGGCCTAATAGAGAATGAATAACTGGAGGTAGAAAGATTACCTCCCTAGCATAGCTTAATAATTTTTATATTAGGATTTTTTTTAAGTTTATGGAATGGAAATCTGCTACACCACTTGAGACATTTTCAATTAAATTTAATTCAAATCTGCTTTTTAAATTCCTAACCCAGCTAATTTGGTGTAGCTCACATATGCTTTGGAAAAAGACAAGAAAGCTAATCAAATTAGCCATGCTTTACAACATAAAGAGAAAAACTGTTTTCTCATCATCCACTAGCCACCCCATTAAAAACCTGTGATGTCGAATGCTGTTGCGATATCACTGCGAGATCTTATCAAAGGAAGTGGTGGAATTAAGGTTAATACTTTCTGATTAAATAGGTCCCTGTGCAGGACAGAAAAGTATGTGGCAATTCTGAGATCCAAATATCTCAAGTTCCTTCCTGTCCCCCACCATCTACTTTTCACCCAAGTACATCATATTTATGTCTGCTTTACATGAACTTTCCTCTTCAAAGAGACATTTTATATGGCTTCAAAATCATAAAACTGTTGTGTATTTCTGTATACTGACTGGATGGCTTCCAGCTGTGCCAAGTCTTAAAATGTGTCAGGTAATACAGCACTCAAACGCTCAACACATTTCCCAGTCCAAGCCTGTAGACCTACTTACATATTTTAGTGTTTCAGATCAAAATGGCCTTCACTTTGTTCGTCTTAATGGATGCTACAATGTGTTGGTGTTTTCTGACCAAGCATGAAAATGTATATTTTTTTGAAAAGGCTTTAGAAAGTACACGTTTACAATATGGTGTATTTGGAGTTTTCGTTAGGGCTTCTACAGCTTCACAGATGGAAGGCATGCAATTCTCTTGGGTGCAATATGAAAGTCCCAGCTGGAGCATTTCCAACAGGATGTAAACCATGGTCCTTTAGCTGCCCTTTCAAAAACATATTACTTAGGCCAGTGCTAGCAAATGTCAATACGAAAACAGAGTGCAAGTACTGGAACAACTCTGCCACATGCACAGAGGGTTTTTTGTGCAGAAAGTAATTAAGCGCAGTTAGGTGAAAATTGCATCAATGACAAAGATATTACAAAATATTTATTTTCATACAAATAAATAGCTTTAAATAATTTGAGTTACAAAATATCACAAAGAGATTCAGATAGCTCTAAAAATTTAAAGGCATACATAATTGCTTGCAGATATCTGGCTGTGTAGGACAGAATGTTCTCAAGAGGTGTTTCTTGAGGTCTTCAACAACTCTGAAGTTTCTTCAATCCTGATGATATTATACAAAGAGGTTAGATATGCCAAACAAAATTGTCTACTTGCAGAATGGTAACATTGAATAAGCACCAATTGCATTTTCCCAACTATACTGAAGAAGAATCAGACTAAAAGACAATATGGAAATATGGATTATAGAAAACACATATTCCAAAATATCAAACACATATTCTTAATTTCCCAACTTAACTCAAAATTTTGCACATCTTATTTCTCAGTAGGAAATTATTTTAGAACAATACAAGTTGGGGTGAGTGTTAAAAAATGAAACCTGTTGAAAAAGAATTATACTGAAGGAAAAAACAAACAAACAATGATAATGTAAAGTTTCACAATCAGGCATTACTACATCAAAGTACAATGCTCTTGGGTGTAAAAATGATCATGGTTTTCATTTTGTTTTTTAAAAAGAGAAACTCCTTCAATAAAACATTACCGGGGGGGGGGGGGATCTAATTACTAATAAACATATTTAGCACTCTAATCTCTAGCAGCCACCAGTAAATTCACTTAACGTTGTATTTCAGAAACAAAAATAGTGACTCATCCCACAAAAAATGGAACTGTAGCTCGATTTATTATCCAGTACAGCCTTAAGGAAATGCCACACCTGATGCGAAGGCCTTTGAGGTTTGGAAAACACATGTACTTTCTAGATATGTTTTAAGCCAAAACAATTCCCTGCAGAGAAATAAATTTGTCTTCCCCCCCCCCCATTACTTACATTTTGCTTATTCTCTCCATTCTTTGTACTGTTGTCTCCTGCAATTTCAAGACAGGCTAAATTAATTCTTTGAAGTCCGCATTTTTCTAAGTTTAAAGGCATGAACAGAGTAACTTTATACAAGCACTTAATTTTATCAAAAGTGCTTTGAAAAAGTTTGCTGTTACCCACCCCCCAAATAATAAAAATCAACCAACATCTACAAGCTCTTCCAAAGCAAATCAGCTAGCATTTTCTGGTTTTTAAAGTACCTTTGAAACCTCTGACAGACCATGATTATTAACGGCCGTGGCTTTGGGAGATGGGTCTGCAGATAACTGTGAACTGTATCCAGACGACTGATGAAGAGTCTCTGGCAGCTCCGCCTTCTCCCTATCTGCAAAGAAATATTCATTTTAAACATCACCTTTGCCTTTTTGCTCTCTCACATCAGGTCAGCCATCACACAGTTTGATTTACAGAATATATTGACAAAGGAAATTGAGGGAGATGAATTTGCAAAGCTCCAAGGTCTTTCTCTCACATTATTTCACAACCATATATTGCAATTATAACATAGAAACTACCTGCAACGATTAACCAGGTATGCCATGATTCCTAGCAATGTAAGCTGTTGCAGATGCCATTACTCAAAAAGGTCATTACTTGAGAATAAACTATTTCCTGAGAGCTAATGCTTATCCGGGGGGGGGGGGGGGGACCCAAAAGTTTAACAACTCTACAAGCAACACAAATGGCATCAGGGTTCTTCCAAGCCCTTCTTAAATGCCACACTGTTCAAGTCAGTAAGATCTTGGCATTACCCTAAAAGTGTTTTTATAGGCCAACCAAAACCTCTCTGCAGTGAGAAAACATCACATTGTATAAAATATCCTGTTGGCAGATCTCAGAGCCAACAGAGAACAGCTGTACTTTATCATACAATAAATCAGTTCCAACTTACAGAGACTACAATGAGTTGATTGACAAGTATTCATACAGCAAACCAACCATATAGTTAATATACATTTTAGATAAAATGAGAACGGATGTGGAAAATTTTCTGTCTGTTCTGTAGTTCTAAGGCATGGTGAAGTTTTAAATGTGTCTCTTGCAATTATGGTCTATAATTTTTCAAAACAAGATGTTTTCCAAAACCGTTTACAGAAACATAAACATACAAATAAACTATAAGACAATTTTAAGACAAGTCTAAAAATGTACATTTCAAAACACTACAAAATATTATTAAAACTAGAATGAACATGACCATACAAAACAAAACATAAAACAATCACAACCCAAAACTAGCCATTTAAAAGGATCAGTAAAAAGATAGGCCTTGAAGGCTCATTTAAAGGTACTGAGGGATGGAGCCTGCCTAACTTCAAGCAGAATTTAGTTTCTTAGTTGGGGGGCCAATGCTGTACATGTACAAAGAGAGGACAAGGCAACATTCCCAAAAGTGACTATCCACTTTGGTCTGGATTCCAAACTGGGCATCTCTCTGAGGGCTACTTTTGACAGGTGGGAAGATCTGCCTACCTGTCAATCACCTGATAACATAGGACACCAGGTGGCTCTATGTGCACCAAAAAGCACCAGGGCTTGCATTTGGTGTTATTTAAATTTGGTGCAGAATATAAGCCCCACTGGGATTGGTTCCATTTGGAATCTTCCAGTAGGGTTAGGTTTTGGAATTGGGCCCAAATTTAAATAGCGTAGAATGCAAGCCCTGCTGCAATGGAACAATCAGGATTTGTGCCAGACAGCAGGTGACATGTGAGTGTGGTTGGCCAAAAAATGGCTGCATGGGCCAAACTGGTGGCCTTAATTTGACTAGCAGGCCAGAGGTTTCCAACCCCTAGTCAACAGAAAATGAAATTTAAATAAACTGCATTTCAGTTTGCAACAACACATATAAACTGACAATCTCACTGCGTAGTTTTAAAAATGGACTGGAGAAAGCTACATCAAATACTCACCAGGAGAAACTGGAGTCATATTTCTGCTAGAGGTATTTTCTTCGCTCATGTTATTAAAATCTGCAGATAAATCAGCCTGAAATTATAAGACATTTTCCCCTTTATAACGGTGCTCTTCAGCAAAATAGCTAGCATTTCCTAGATCTGGTTAATGATCTCCCTCAGTACCTTTCAGTGAATGGGTTATAATACACTCCCTAAAGCAACAGTATCAGCAGCATAGAGACAACATCCCTTTTCAAACACTACCTTTTAATCAGGAAGATACCATGGGTTCATGTATGCCAGTTCTATCACAATCATCCAAATTTGGCCAACTATGGTCTAAACTAAGCCACCAGTGTTTCTTGCACATCACATTGGGCTGAATCCAACGTTGAAATTATGATGATGCAACGGCCTTCCATGTCTACCAACAGAGCTCCCTCTCCCGTCCCTTCCAGCACTCCCTTGCAGCCTCAAAATAAGCTCTAAAGGACTGGGGACCATTCAGGAGGGAGATGAGAGAGGAAACAGAAGTCCCATTGCATCAGTGGAACTAGCTCAATTGGTAGAGCATGAGACTCTTCATCTAAGCATCATGGGTTCGAGCCCCATATTAGGCAAAATATTCCTGCATTGCGGAGGGTTGGACTAGATGATCCATGTGCTCCCTTCCAACTCTACAATTCTATGACTCTATGTCTCAATACGTGGGACGCGGGTGGTGCTGTGGGTTAAATCACAGAGCCTAGGACTTGCCGATCAGAAGGTCGGCGGTTTGAATCCCCACGACGGGGTGAGCTCCCATTGCTCGATCCCTGCTCCTGCCAACCTAGCAGTTTGAAAGCATGTCAAAGTGCAAGTAGATAAATAGGTACTGCTCCGGCAGGAAGGTAAACGGCGTTTCCGTGCACTGCTCTGGTTCTCCAGAAGCGGCTTAGTCATGCTGGCCACATGACCCGGAAGCTTAATGCCGGCTCCCTCGGCCAATAAAGCGAGATGAGCACCGCAACCCCAGAGTTGGTCACGACTGGACCTAATGGTCAGGGGTCCCTTTACCTTCTTATGATTCTATACACACAGTATACATTGAATGATGCAAGTTTATTTCTTGCTAAAGTAACCAACAGTTATTCTCTAATTATATCTCACAATTGGAAATTTATGCCCTACACAACTGACATTCAACAGAATAAAATTCAAGGGGCTGGAGGTAAGAATAAATAAAAAATAAATACAGTAAAATAAGTTAAGTTGGCTCATAAGAAAAAAAGGCCACAGTTGAGAAACAGCTTTACTAGAAGCAATCCAAAGGATACACAGCTGGTAAGCTAAAACAAAACATTATCATTATTTAGGAGCTCAAAGTGGCAAATACATCAATATAACTGTAGGTGGTAAAAGCATACCTTTTTGGACTGCAGTAACAGTTGTGTTTCAAGTAGTAAGACCCGGCTCAGTAAATTATTCCACTCCTTTTCATCTATAACAACCTTTCCCTGCAGTTTATCTTCTAATGCCTGTAACTTTTCTTCTACCCAGTCCAGTTTATTAAGCTTCTCCTGCAGTTCATCAAGTTGGCTCTTTAATTCTTGCATTTCATTATTATTTTCCTCCAAGACCTGTAAATAATATTTTATTCATCCAAAGTTTTAGATAATCTTTACTCATTAGCCCCCTTTGTGCCTTAATTCTCTCCGACAAGAGGCAGTGACAGCCATCAACCTGAATTGCTTTAAAGAGGATTGAGGGTTAAAGAAATGAATGGAAGATAGCCATCATGGCTAGTGGCCATGGATAGTCTTTATGTTCCACCTCCATTGCAAGAGGCTTTATGCCTCTGATACCACTTGACAGGAATCACAGGTGACGGGAGTGCTATTGCTCCCAGGTTGTGCTTGCAAGCTTACCACAGGTATCTTTCTGGGCACTGTCAGACTGGAGTGCTAAGACTAGACAGGCTTTTGGCCTTATTCACAGGCTCTTATGTTCTTAAAGGGTTGGTGCAGCCACACTTTGGGCCCTGCTGTTATGATGAATGCCTCAAGGGGGTACTGGCAACATTATGTAGATTGTTTTCCCACTAGCTGCTTTTGCTATTTAATCATGTGTCAAATTTATTACTATTTCCTGTACCATTGGAACAATCTTTCCTCTTCTCTCCCCCCCCCCCCACGTTTCTAGGGGTTCTTTCAACCCCCCACCAGAGCAGATTTGGGGGTGCAAAGGGGGAAGAAAGCCCCGATGTGCTAGCGGGACTCTTGCTGGCTCCCACTAGCACACCTCTTTAGCCGAATCCAGTCCATAACAATGCACAAGATATATTAGCTGAAAAATTATGATTATTTCAACAGGCAGGTGAGTAAAGAAAATTTAAATGGTCCTACCTGTTCACGTACACTGACTGGATCATCAGCAATGCAGGCAACTTCTTCCTGCTCCTCCTGCTCCTCTTCCTCCTCCAGTGCTTCATTGATTATGTCTTGTGGGAGTCTTGCACTCAACATACTTTTATGATGTTCTATTTGAGGATTCTTTGCCATGTAAAAGACCCCACACACAAAGTGATGCAGAGAGTATTAATAAAGGCCATATAAGTCAACAGCAGAACACTTTTTAATTGAACCTGGCTATAAAACACATGTATGTGCGGGATAAAATACTTGAGGCATAAAATACAAAAACTTAGAAGTGATTTTGAAGATAAGAACAAAATAAAAAACCACTCCCAGTATTGTATAGACAAGGAATCTCTAAAGGCCCCATCCTCATATTGGTTCAGCGTTAGCCCTATTTTTAATAAGTCGTGAAAACCAGGAACTGAGTTTCTAATATAACTTCTGTGAACTGTTTTAAAGGACTGTTTTAAAGAGGACTGTTTTAGAAACCCTCTATCAATGGTATTTGATGCCTTATTAATATACAAATAGTGTCTGATAAATGTTGTAAATGTGGATTAAACAAAACAGATCACATACACATTTTCTGGAATTGTTCTCAAACAGAAATATTCTGGAAATCCATTCAGACTAATATCTGTGATATGTTAGTATACCCTTGGAACCTAAAGCATTTCGGCTTGGTTATCTAAAAGAGTTTATTTTAGAAAGTGATCAAGAAATAATGTTCAACTACTGCTGCTAAGATTATAACAGCTAAAGATATCTGAATGGATTGAAAAACTTTGGTCCATAGTAGCTATGATTATGCTAACTTATGATAAAAGACTGCATATAAACCAACCTAACAGGTTTATGGAAAAATTGGGTTTTTTCGTAATGTTTTGGAACAAGTTCAATGATAATATCCAAGTTTATGCTGCTTTCAACCTGCTGCAATGATATTTCTTTATGTTGTTTGAATTTTGTTTCATAAATTTCTTTTTTAAAAGTATGTTCCTACAGACACACCAAATTACTGAGGAATCCTCCCCAGTCAAACTGCTTCAGGAGCAGAGGGTCAGGATTCATAACTCCATATTCCGATTACCTGAAAGGTAATCTTACAGTGCCAGGATGACAAGCCTAGAAGGTAGTGGCACAAAGAATCAGCCAGATATCTGAACACAGTTCAGTTTCTGGTGAGAATTTTTCAGACAACTTGTTCAGTAAAAAAGCTATTGTTGCTGGAAACATATCTACAGTCTTTCAGTTTTTTGTCTAAAATAATTGTGTATTTTATTTCTTCTTCTAAAATAATTTTAGTGCTCTTACCTGCTGAAAATCCATAGTAGAGATTGTTGCAGAATCCGGAAGAGTAGGAAAAAGATTTGTAGCACAGAACGTTGTAGAATCGGGCACACTAGGGCTGTTTGCTTGTAGCTGAGGTCTAACTGGATGGGTTCTCTTTCTTGTTTGGGTTTTGACCTATAAAAACACACAGAAGTCCCATCCAAATAGTTAATGATGCATATATTTTTCTGTTTTTACAATATAAAGTATGTTCTAACAAAACGTTTTGTTGACGTAATTATGCAAGTATATGAGCTCTAAGGGAAAGATATAAACACATACACTGTATCCTCTCAAGAGTGATTTTGAAGAGCAAATTGTAGCAATCAACTCCAAACATAATATTACACAACTTTGCAAGAAGTTATAACTGAAATTAAATCAAAGTATGGCACTATGTCTTTTTAACTGCCTATACACTGATGTGCAGGAAGAAGAAGAAAAATTAGGGGGGAAATGAGAATTATCTGATTTCCCCAATACCCAGAATACAACAGAAAAGGGGAGTGGGGTCCACACCCAAACCAGAGCCAGTTCAGTAAGACACCCTGAGAGCCATTCATAAATTTTGTTAATTAAAATAATAAACTGATAAATGGAGCAAACACAAAGTTTTCACACATCCAAGAAACTGTAATAACAAAAATGTGCTAGTTATTTTACTTAGACCTTAAAATATATTAACATTTTTATTTCTCAGAAGTACGAACTAAATTAATAACTTGATCAATACCTTATTCATATTACTTAATTCTTTATGCCTTTTATAGACTGAATTAATAATGTCACAAACAATCTGTATTTTTCTCTCTGCAAAGCCATATTGGAGGAACTGCTGTTTTGATAGGACTGGCTTATACTGAAATTGATCTCGGAGAACCTGCAAGGAACAGAGAAAAAAAGAAATTGCTTTCACAGTCACTATAACTGTGGTTACAGGTAGGTAGCCGTGTTGGTCTCCCATAGTCGAAACAAAATAATAAAAAAAATTCCTTCCAGTAGCACCTTAGAGACCAACTAAGTTTGTTATTAGTATGAGCTTTCGTGTGCATGCACACTTCTTCAGATACGGGTTAACTGTGGGTTACAACTAGTGCATGAAAACCCAGGAAGTGCTTTTTTGCATTCCTGTAATTTCTAGCCCTGTCCAGCAGTTGAAGCCATATCAAAAAAGTAAGAGAGACCATTGTGCTTTTAAAAAAATAAAATCTTCTGTTCATTAGGATTCCTATTAGATACCTAAGTGTACTTAAGTCTATACTTTTTACTTGGACAAGAGTTTAGAGATATAATTTATCCCAATTTCCCTATGCCAGTTTGGCTTGTAATACACAGGTCTGTGGATAGCTTTTACTGTTGATATATTGCATTTAATGGTGGTGAGACACCTAGCTAATTTATGATAAGCAGGAGTAAGTAATTTTAAAAATACAGTGAGTCATGTTCTATTATGCATCAGCTTATGTACAGATCACTCTTTACATTATCTGGCAAGTGTAATGAGCACCAGCCTTCCTTCAACTCTTGGACATACAGAGGAGGGCAGATTCCTGCCTGCTTCCCAGCTCAAAGGCTGAGAGTAAGGCCAAGAAGTCATTTGCTACTGCATTGTGAAGTGTGTTGCTGCAGCACTTCCACCAAACTCTCAATGTCTGACGCTAGAAAAAGCTTCTTTAGTAGAGTTAAGCCAGGGTTGGGGGATTGTTCCTGCATAGTGTGAGATCAGTGAAAATAATAGGGACAAGGTCCTGGTAACAGGTTTTAGCTTAGCTAGTAAGATCAGCCCTAAAACCATAGATCCTTGAACTCACGTGTGAACAAACCCCATCTTATCTCTCACTTAATATATCATACAAGCTAGAACACTGCCTATAAAACGTCACAACATACCGTATTTTCCGCCCTATAGGACGCACTTTTTCCCCTCCAAAAATGAAGGGGAAATCTGTGTACGTCCTATGGGGCGAATGCAGGCTTTCGCTGAAGCTTGGAGAGCGAGAGGGGTTGGTGCGCACCGAGTTCCCGCAGGGCTCCCTAGGCTGCGGATAGCAGCCTGCTGCCCAGAGTGCGGGGTGTGCTGAAGCCGCGGCTGGGGGGGGGATAATTTTTTTTTTCTTTATTTCCCCCCCAAAAAACTAGGTGCGTCCTATGGGCCGGTGCGTCCTATAGGGCGAAAAATACGGTAATACATGCTGAGATCATACAATCATGTGAGTGCTGTAACAATTTAAACCTGTTTGTAGCCTCCATAATGCCACACAACTTTTTCAGAAGACCTTTACACCATGAATTTTGCTTTAATGTTCTACTCTTGGACATTTTAACTTATGTTTTAAAATAGATTTTCCTTTTTTATTTTTGTAAGGGGCTTTGAGACACGTGGTGAAAGTAAAGTTTAAAACAAACTTTTACTTTTCCATTATTCTCAACAAGTGGTAGTGTCACAAAGAACACTAGAACTATATAAATACCTTATAAACGGCATCAATAAAACGCAAGTCATTCTTTGCCATGAGTTTCACATCCGATTCCACTAGAAGTTCTGCAATATACGTTGAGAAGGATGTGAAGCAATAGCTGATGATGGGCAAAAATGCAGATGGATCCCCCTTTGCCAACCTGGAATAGAGAGAAAAGCTAGACAGTAAGAGAATATTGTATTCTACTGCACCAGTGGAAGTGCAGCTGTTCTATTTCTGTTCCTCTAGAAACACTATATTAAAATCAGAGTTGTAACTATTTTACAATGTACTCACATTTTGGGCGCTTTCAAATTTCCAAGCATATCTCAAGTCCTTTTTCTTGTTAACTGCAACCAACACTTTGTAAGAAAGTTTCTACTTCATAAGCATCTTTGCTTTCCATTTAAAGACACAGGAAGGGGAGGCAGGGTAACATATAAAAAAGGGTTCTTTCAGACCACTGTTTTCTGCATGTCTATTCTGCATTTATGGTGAATTTAAACTGCAGCATCCACACATCATTCAACTTTATTAGATTTTCTGCAGTGATGATACAATACCCTGATACAATTATGAGCCCAAAGCATCATGAATGCACAATTTAAAGAATGCCTGGAATGACCCTTTCCCCATCCAAGAGTTTGGATTTGATATCCCACCTTTCACTCCCTTTAAGGAGTCTCAAAGTGGCTAACATTCTCCTTTCCCTTCCTCCGTCACAACAAACACTCTGTGAGGTGAGTGGGGCTGAGAGACTTCCGAGAAGTGTGACTAGCCCAAGGTCACCCAGCAGCTGCATGTGGAGGAACGGAGACGCGAACCCGGTTCCCCAGATTATGAGTCTACCGCTCTTAACCACTAAACCACACCGGCTCTCGACCATACATCAGACTATATTGGTTTTAGCTGCCTACCAGTGTTCATCTATTATCCAAACAGGAATACAGTACAAGCAAAATTCTTGCCTCTTCTTTAACAATTCAGTTTATTATACTGTATATTTTTTTTAACTGGTCCACAGTCCAAGCAGAAGCAACATTAAAATAACATGATTCTGATATGAGAACTGTAGATACCTTTCCCAGCAAATCATGTTTGATAGAACCAATGGATATTATAAAAAATATATACCTGCACTTACCCAGCATAATCAACATCTCTGGGATAATTTAAAAGTCGAAGTCCTTGCTCTATTTTACGCAAGTTTCCTTTTAAATCTCCTGTGGCCATGCTATCACGTTACAATTCTTATTTCGTTCAGATCATAGGAAGCGCTCAGTACAGACTAGAACACAGAACAGTTGCATTTTAGAATTCAAATGTTTTGGTTAGTCATATTATACGCTCACATTATAGAACTAGCTCAAAGCCAAAATGGACTCAAGATTTGTTGTATGAAAACAACTATCCACTTTCAACCTTGTGCATGGGAAGGGCACATTTCATCTTAAGCGGCATTTTTAGGGTCGCAAAAACAAAACAAAGAAGAATTGTTTTGCAAATACCACACTTTCACTCTGGAAACCCAGGCTACAACTGTAGGCCCATTAAACCCAGTAGGACTAGCTTCTGGAGCATAAAATAGGATTGCACTGGGAAGGTTACAGCCCTGCGCACACTTATTCTGCTTGCAATCCAACCCCCGTTACCTGGAAGTAAGCCTCGTTGAATTCTATAGGACTACTTCCGAGCAGACATGGTTAGGAGTCTGCTTCCCACTGAGCTCATTTCCACAAAAATCAGGTGTAGGATCAGACTGCAATCCCCCCCCCCTTTTTTTTTTACACAGACTGCAATCCTACACACAATTAATTCACTTGCTGCTTAGCAAACACCTACTGAACCCGGCAAGGCTTAGTTCTGCAGCTGACACATGACTATTGTCATTAATAAACAGCAATGTCAACGGCGCCTTATAACGAAAAGGTATGACAGGTTCCTCATAGTCAAAAACAGACTCGGGACAACAAGAAAAAGTAAGAGGGAAAGAGAAGCACAGGGATAGGGGAGAAGTATAGGCGGTTATTTCGGTTACGCGTGCATAAGGTTGCAGAGTCACCTTACCGGCCCCGGCCCACCTTTGGCCTGAAGGATGGTCGGAGCCCCGCCCACCTCCTCGCGCTCCTCGCGCCGCCCCCGCCCTTTCTTTCTTCCTTCCCTCCCCCTGTTGGCGGCAGTTTGAGCGCTCCCGCGGGAACTCGAGGCAGCCTTTCGCTCCGCTCCGGCAGATTCCTCACACCTTCCCCCCTCCGAGGCTGCTAGCCCTATTGGCCGGCCCCGAGAATTTCTTCTCAGGCAGCGCCGTGTCCTGCAAGGGGGAGGGAAAGCTCCAATCTTTCGCAATCAATTAATAAAAATGTATGTTTTATTTCCGACCCCCGTGGAACCGAATCTGCCGCTGCGAACCCCGCGTCGGTCTCTCTGGGCCAGGAGGGGCCGACGTCACTTCCGGTAACAACATATGCGGCGGCGGCAGCTGCAGCAGCAGCAACAACAACAACCGTTTAGACGCTCTGGGGTGTGTGTGGAAGAGGTGACGACTCATGTTTTTGCGTAGGGACCCGGAAGCCCGTTTCCTCCGCCGGCTGCACGAGGCCGCCTGACGACGGTCCCTCCCCCCCGCTGCTTATAAGGCTCGCGCACCCGATTTGAACACGGCTCGTCGCGGCGGCGGTTGGGACTGGAGCTAGCACAGGTAAGGGGAGCCTTGAGCGCGACACCGGTTGGGGGGAGCTGCCATTTGAGGCTAATCGGGGAGTGGGGAGCGGACTTTGCCGTCTCTCATCCAGCCCCGGGTTGGGATGCGGTTGGGCAGCATCTCTCTTTGAGCGGGTTTTCATGGCTGGGAAGTTGCCCCAGCTGCCTGTGTCCTTCATAGGGTTAAGTTCCTCCACGCATCCCTTCCTTGCACAGTCTGGCTCTTCACATCAGAGTGTCACACGCCTGAAATCGCCTTGGGAATAGTTCAGATGTGGTGTAATCTCTCCCCACCCCCAGCCGGCAGCCCTTCCGGTGCATGTGCATGGAGGAAAATAATAATATTTTTTTTTAAAAGCCACCAAACCTGTTTAATAATTTGGGTATTTAGGAACCGAGGAAAGTGGTTGCATAACAGGTAACTTCTGGTTAAGTTAACTTGGGCTACAGTCCTATTGCATACTTAGGTTGGAATAAGTCTCGCTGGATTCAGTAGAAGTTTCTCAATAGACATTAATGCAGTTTTGCCATTGGATATGTGCCTCTTGCCAAAGCTGTCTTCCTTCCTGCAGTTCTACTCATTTTACATTTTTGCAGTTCACCTTGAAATTATTTATAAAGGGAAGTTTATATATGACCTGACTATCTGACTAGTTTTTTCTCTCCATATAAGCTTGTGCATGCCAAAACAAGCAAAATCCTAATTGGAGAGATGTTTGCCATTTCTGCTTTAAATCTAGGTCTCCAGATCACCAGTACATTGAATTGTTGGCCTGGCCTATGACATGCCACTTTTCTTTGCCTCTACCTCTTTGGCTTTAGGACTGACCCTGTACTTAGGCTGGATGAGACAATTGCTTGAGGCAGCAGATACCATTATTGGTGTGGTGGTGTGCCTGTCTAGTCATCAGCCCTTTGACACTTCCCTGTCAGAGATCACCGCTGCTGGTGCCACAAAGGCTTTCATACACCCACTAAACTTTGCCTGTTGCCAATGTTGAAGTATGGTTTAACTGCCAGTTGAGCCAACTTCTGAATATGGTATGGACAGCACCATCTTGACCTTTGCCTTAGACAGCAATATGTCTTGGGCAGGTTCTGCTATGGTGCCCTGCTATGGTGAGGGTTTAGAGAGGATGCAACTCAGTGGTGCAGCACATGCTTTGTGTGCTTAAAGTCCTCAATTTACCGGTAAGTCCTGGCATTGCTGCGTTTAACTTTTTATGTGTTGAAGATGAGATCCTGGATTGCTATTTTGCCAGTCAGAATGGTCAGAGATACCAGTGTCTTGAAGCAAGGTTTTGTTTCATTGCAAAGGCAATGATTCTATTGTTACTTCTGGATTTTATAGATAGAACCCTACATTACACACGTTACTTGAATGTTGGTTTTCTTTCCTTACACATTTGTGGAGGGTGAGCATGGCATGTCACCAGCATTTGTTTGGTGTGGAGAATGTGAACTACCTGCCCTGTTTGGGCGTGGATTAATTATAATATTCTAACATCCATACTTTCTGTATGCTGCGTTAATCTTGCATCAGATGGGATTATAGTCACATTTGTCCATGGAAGGGGGAGTGACTTTCAGTCCTGATCTTTGATCACTTTCTCTGCTCACATCTGTGACATCTGCGGTGCAGTTGAACTGATGTCCGGTCAATGTCTCCTGTGTATGTGTGGTGCTGGAGCTGTGAGCTAATGAGTTGCACTTGACATGAGAACTTAAGACACTCTCCTTTCCAGCTCCCACAAAATTTGACAGTGGATAGAATGTGGCACTATATGTGCTTTGTTGTAATTTAGATCTGTAGCCTGCTTAATATGCATAGTTTTGCATAAAATTAGGGTGTTCATTATTTATGCTTTGTGGATTTCACCTTCTGTGGTAGCTGTCATAAGTTTGAAGTGTGGTGATTAGGCACCTGTTCACGTTTTTACCTTGAGAAATGTCATTTGGGCTTTGGTCGGATATTGTTCAGTTAGTTATATAGTTTTAGCATTTATTTAGCTGCTTCTCAGATTTACTCAGGGTGAGATACCGAAATTAAGCATTTTAAAAATTAGCTAAGCTAAACATCAATAAAATCAGAATCAGATACACCATTAAGATATTACAAATACAGTAGATATGTTTTAATGCATAGAAATAGAGTAGCAGTATAAAAATGTATGTTATAGATAAGGATTAAAATCTTCCTTAGCAAAGCTGAATTTATTGTGGTATGTATTCTTGCATTTCAGGCTGAAGAAATAAAACAGATTGACATATATAACTACTAGCCAACCAATGACTGCTGTGAAACAAAGAGCTTAAGGCTCTCTGTAGCTTTTCAATGCTAACCTAGGAGTAAACTCTTAATGTGCTCAGTGAGGGTTACTTCTGAACAGACATACATAGGATTGCAGTGTTGGTGAAGCAAATTTTGAAATGTCCTCTGCTGAAGTTACCTACTGTGTACAGGTTGTGTCTGAAAGGTGTTTCTCCTTTCCCTATGCAAACTTCAGAATAATCCATAATGTTGTAATTAGAGATGGGCAGAGGAATCATGTCGAGATGAGGTGGGGCAGAGACTCCATGACAGAGGAACTGCTGCTTCTTATGCCCTGCTGGCTAGGGTGAAAGTTGGTGGGGCAGGGCAATTAAAAGAAATTCTGCCGTGATGCAATTGCCTGTTTGGGAAAAGGAAATAACTATGGTAGTTCAAGGGTTGGCATAGTTTTGTGGCCAGTTTGGGAGAATGGAAGGACTTTAGATCTTATGGATCCAAGCCCCCACCCTCATATTTCTCCTTTTCATCCCCCACTGATAGGAAGGGTGTGGTGGTGAAGAAGCCTCTGGCAGTAGAAAACATCCTTCTCTGACTCTCTCCAGCCATGGAGGGGAAGGCTATGGCATTCTGCAGCCCATTGGCTGCCCACCCTGGCAGCTGAAGGGGAAAGGTGATACTGGCTTTATTAATGTCTGTGGGGGAGTGCTGAAAGACAAATTGCACAAAAACATGTGCTTTTCGTTATTTACATCATGCTCTTTTTTGCTATATGTTTCTTCCAATGGGCATTGTTCATTACAGGATATGAGGTTTTATCCTAGATGTTCCAATAGTCAGCTTCTGGAATGTCCATCTCAGGATTATTGCTAAAAATAATTGCTTTGTAGGAAAAAAACAGAGATAAATCCTTGGAAAAGCCACAGAGAGCCTTAAGCTCTTGGTTTCACAGAAGTCATTGGTTGGCTAGTAGTTATATATGTCAATCTGGTTTATCTCTTCAGCCTGTTCAGTTAGTACTTAGTATAAAGGAGAGCACAACCTATTTTTCATAAATATTGTTGACAGGTTTCAGTAGTTACAAATATAGTTTTATTAGAGCCTCTCTTGTGAAACTCTCCCATGTGTATAAAATCTTAATTTTCAGTTAATTTTTAATCTGTTACCCATTTTACAGTCTGATTCTAATGCATTTCTACTGAATGTGTCTCCTAGATAAGTATGCACGGTTTGCAGTCTTATACCATTAGTTGCCCTTGCAAACAGTATATATGGCAATATAGGCTCTTTGCAGTTTGGATAGCTGCTTTATTTTTTGGATTTCACCAAAGCCTAGCCTCTAAACACTTCACCGAAGCAATGCAACATCTTTATTTAAGCAGGCTTGTATTAATAGAGGAAGTGTATGTGGTATTTAAGTTTTGTATGTTTTTGCTTCTTATTGCCTATGTTCTTATTGTCCATCTAAGAACAGGTTAATTTATAAATAAAAAATGAATTTTTACTGTATTCTTCAAAGATGAGAAGCATGTTATAAAATTGTACTGAACACAATACTGATTTTTGGAATGCAAAACAACTGGCATAATTATTTGTTCTGAAAAGCGGAAGCTTTTGTTCCGCTCATAGTCATTACAAGTGTATCTGTTGTTCCTAGACTACAGTACACAGCTTGTGATCTGCTGCAGATCAGAACACTGTGTTACAAAAATAAGTTAAAATGCTTATTTGAGTTATTATCAGTTGTAAAAAGCATGATTAATAGTAATTAATATTACCATCAGCCGAAATACAGTTTAATTCTTCAATACCATTCAGTGCTTATTTAATGCCAGTCACGTGCTGTGCACTATACTGAAGTGATAGAAAACTGTTTTGGATGTAATGACGTTGCATAGGGAATAGGAGACGACACCCCCACCCCAAGTGGAAGCCCTCCCTGAATTAAGTTTTTGAATTTTTATATTCAGGGTTAAATGATGTATACTGTGCTCTGCTGTTAGCAATGAGCTGCAATGAACATTTCATCTATAAAGCCCAAATGATTTAGGATCTGTGTACCTTTAAATGTCTTTGCTGCTGCAGATTGGACATGTTTATGCAAATTACTAGATCAGTGTTGAGATTCTAGGCTATATTTCTTCCATCGTGAGTTCGCATTTATGGCCTAATTCAGGAGACCTTTGATTTGTTGACCTTCTAAGAATTGTGCAAGACTCATGGTTGTTGTTTTTTTAATCTGGCTTTGCTCATTTGTATGTATGTATGATGTATGGGCAAAATAAGGCTCTCAGCCTTATCAAGCCTTCACAATCTCCTCACTCAGCAGCCTACACTACTGTTACTGAATTGTTTGGTGGGGGGGTTGGTCCATATTGTAGCTTGTGAAACCATCTTCTGATTACTCCTGTGATAAGTTGTTGGGATTCTTACCTTTTCTTTGTTGATCTCTTTTAAAACATGTAAATAAAGTTCATATAATTGTTCTACATTAAGTGATTTGACAAGTTCTATGTTGTCACAACATGCATTCTTTCTCTAAAAGTTGTTTTTATTCTGTTCATGCGCCTATGTGCAAGTCAAGAATGGATAACTACTTTTGAGTTTGGGGATTGACCTTGGAAAGCCTGTTCTGCCTGCACAAGTCCCACTAAAATTAGCAGGTTTTATGATGAGAAACTATGAGCTTATACAGCTTTCCTTCAGCTTTTTAGTAAATACAAGCTAATACTGAAAAACGTAATGTAGGTGCCTAATTTACAAGGTGACTGAAGTAGACTTCAGGGAGGATGTTTTTAATTGCAGTCTAAAACATATGTTGGACATATTTAGGATACAGTCCTTTGCACAACTCTAAGTTGCTGTTATATTCTATTGAAATCAACAGGATTTAAGTATTCCATCTGTATACACAATGCAGCCTCGCATGTATTGCCATGACTCCTTTCCCAGTGCAGTTTGTTTATCTAGGCAATGTCATTGCTCCCTTAATGCTAGAGAATAGTGAAAGAATTTCCAAGTCCTAAACAGCTGTCCTGAAGTTGCCTTCAAAGCTAGAACTTGTAAAATATTATTTGGCAAATAATTGTGGAGAACACTTGCCAGAATTCAGTCCCCCCCTCCCCAAAGTAGAAATTCCTTTCACACACATACATAGGGAAGGGGCTGATCTTTCAATGCGCTGTCTCTTGCAGCTTTTAAGAGGTGCTGCTCTGCCTGACCTACTTCCCAAAAATGTTGCATTTTTCATCTAGCCCATAAAAGGAAGTGGCAAAGGGTATAAATATGGATATAAGGGTAAAGGGACCCCTGACCATTAGGTCCAGTCGTGGCCGACTCTAGGGTTGTGGCGCTCATCTCGCTTTATTGGCCGAGGGAGCTGGCGTACAGCTTACGGGTTACATGGCCAGCATGACTAAGCCACTTCTGGCCAACCAGAGCAGTGCACCAAAACGGCATTTACCTTCCCGCCGGAGCGGTACCTATTTATCTACTTGCACTTTGACGTGCTTTTGAACTCCTAGGTTGGCAGGAGCTGGGACCAAGCAACAGGAGCTCACCCCGTTGCGGGGATTCGAACTGCCGACCTTCTGATCAGCAAGTCCTAGGCTCTGTGGTTTAATCCACAGCGCCACCTGCATCCCAAATATGGATATAGATAGTCATAATAAAGTGGACTTCATTAAGCCTGAGCAGAAAAAATAGCTCTTGGAGTATAAAGTCTTCCGTTAAATAGCTTTAATCATGCTTTTCCAGTTTTCTCAAACACCTGATAAGTTGCTTAAAAACATGTGTGCTTTGTTTTAACGCAATAAAATAAAACGAAATCTAGTTATATTTATATACTAGGGACAAAAAGTTTTTAAACACCACAGTCTCATAAGATACTTGGAAAAGAGATATTTCCTGCAAAACCACAGTGAAAGTGTTCCTGGTGTCTGCAGACTCACCTGAATGCTTTCTAGTACAGTTATAAGACTTCTGTTGGTGGTGGTTGTTTGCACTGAAATTTTAATGGTTTTCTGAAGTGTCAAAGTAAAGATACCAGTTTGATTTTTTTAAAGCCAGTAGTTAGGATGAATGAAAGTCGTAGTCCCAAAACATCTGGAGGGCACCAGGTTGGAGAAGGCTGTTATGGGTTATGTTTGTCATGCCTTTCATTTGTTTTGTAATCCTTTGTGTGAAAATCACCTTAATGCTGTGCACTGTTTAAGCATAATTGCATGCAGAACCATAGACTTTATTTGCTTGTTATTACAAATATGACTATGAAACTGTTGCTTCTGTTGGTTAATGAACTAATCTGGGTGTATCCTTGTGTTCCTCCCCCCCTTTATAACCTGCAGGCTTGCAGATGGGTCAGGGGCTGTGGAGAGTGGCCAGGAACCAGCAGCTGCAACACCAGGGATACGCGGGACAAAGCTATCTGTCCAGAGAGCATGGTAGAAGGATAGCTGCTAATAACGTTTCAAACGCAAACCATCGGAAACATGCCCAGGGAGGCATTGACATTTACCATCTGTTGAAAACTCGGAAGTCAAAAGAACAAGAAGGGTTCATCAACCTGGAAATGTTGCCTCCTGAACTTAGCTTTACCATTTTGTCATACCTGAATGCAACAGACCTCTGTCTGGCTTCATGTGTTTGGCAGGATCTTGCTAATGATGAGCTTCTTTGGCAAGGGTAAGTTAATGAGAGGTCATGAGCACAGGTTAAAACAGTCAATTTAGATCCAGGATTTCTTGTCCAAACCACTTGCTTCTTTAAACAAAACATCAGAAATGAAAAACTACTGTGTAATTGTAATTGTAGCTAATTAACTGGGCTTTTTGAGCCTCCAAATTGCAACCTAAATCCGATAAGGAGAGTACAGAGTGATAGAACTTCAGGAGCAATTAACTTAAGTTTTCAAAGGTGATGGTACTTCAGAAAAAGAGTGTGCTCTCAGGTCATGCAGAAGCATTTCAGAAATGGTAAGCGTTCTTGCACGTGCTTCTTACTCTTGTGGAAACCGTAACGGCTCTATTAAAAAAGTAGGTACATGATGGTCTAAAGCAGGCATAGGCAAACTCGGCCCTCTAGATGTTTTGGGACTACAACCATAATCCCTAGGTAACACGACCAGTGGTCAGGGATGATGGGAATTGTAGTCTCAAAACATCTGGAGGGCCAAGTTTGCCTATGCCTGGTCTAAAGACTCTAAAGTGAAACTACATGTTTGGTGAGAGCATGAAACATAACACTGAACTTATTGTGGCTGCTTCTAGAACTATTCTTCAGCATAGCTCCCACAAGTATCATTCAGTTGCTCATGGAAATTCAGTTCCTACCCTGGTCTACATATGGCTTGCTGAATTTGATAGTGCAAATATTTTTGAGATCAGCACTTTGGGCTACAAGGTTGTCTTAAATGGAAATGGCCTGTTTTTGTGTAATGGCACCAGTCAGTAATGTTTCTGGAAGCAGAAAGTTATCCTTCTCTTCATAATGCTCAAAACAACTGCTTGCCTGGCTACAACTTGTCTAACTGGTCACAAAAAAGGGAGAGTGGAGAAAATGAGCTTTGTGTGTGCCACTTACCAACATATGGGTGTGCATTAATAAGATTTTGTACCGGACAAAGTTAAAAAGCCCTTGGAAGGGTAAAAGGAATGTGTTGACCCATGCAATTGGAAATACGTCTTGAATTTCTTCATGAGATTTATTTTTTTCAGAAAAATAAATTTAATAGTTCAATTGCACCCTAAAGCACCAAGTTCCAGATATAGTTAGATGTTCTTTACTTATTATATACTGTCTAAAGGATAGGCAGTACTGGGTTGTAATCCTGCATGAAGCTCACAACCACACACTGGATGACATTCCTTCTCTGTGAATTGATAAATTATCTGAAAGTAAAGCTGCTCTCTCCTAATGCCTGGTAGGTTTATTATTTTTTTTAAGATTCAAGCTTGGGTCAACTGATGTTTACATTTACTTACCCGGTTAGTCTCTGAAATATTAATTAATGAGACTTTTAGGATGAGAAGGCAAGTACTGGATAGCACCATTCATTAAGCCTCTCACGCTACAGAGGCTTACATGTACTTACAGTTATCTGTTTGACTGTTTCTGTGTGGAAATTTAGACATGTATATGTTTGGAAGATTTTTGTACTGATACTACTTGCGTTGGCAATGATGCAGTACAAAAAAATAAGTCAGTTTTTCGGTAGTTGTGCAAATCCTAGGTATTTAATTGGTTCACTGATGTTCATAAAACATAATGAAAAGTATGTTTTAGACTATTTAGAAAACTCCTATTAAAGTCTGTGTACGAAGTTATATAACTGAAACATTAAGTGGTACTTTTCAAGTACTACTGTAATATCTGGTGGGCTCCTAGAATCCTGAAATCTTGGACCTGAAAATGAATTAGAGCATAACCTATTTCCATATTGAACATGCTTCTTCCATTTTTGTAGATTGTGCAAATCCACTTGGGGTCACTGTTCCATATACAATAAACGTCCGCCTCTGGGATTTTCATTTAGAAAATTGTATATGCAGTTGGATGAAGGCAGCCTCACCTTTAATGCCAATCCAGAAGAGGTGAGTTGATGTTGAGGACAATAGTAAGTGTTGGTGATAGTTCTGGTGCTCTTGTTGGTTTCTAAACTGCTGGGCAGATCTAAAGTTAGTGGAGCATAGAAGTGCCCACTAGATGTACAATTGGAAAAAAATAATAATCATTAATTAGAAGCATACTTTTTGGTATGTACATTTTGTTGAAATCCATTTGTACTTGCTTAAAGCAAATGTTTTAGGATTAAGGTTTAACAGAAAGTACATTATTTTTACTTCGCCTTTGACTTCAGGTTTATGAATAAATGTCTCATTTGTAGAAAAAATGAGAAAATCAATATATGCAGTTGTGGCACAAAACGCTAACACAATCCAGTGTAGTAAAGCTGTTCATTAATTGGAACTTCAGCTTTGTTATGGAATTAAGAAACAAAGAAAGCTTGACTCATAATGATTGTTTTACTTTAACAAAGGACGGAGTTGTCTCTGATCACTTTGTAATGCTGAAACAAACCTTAAATCTAAAGTAACGGGTTTGATAACTGAGAGCTTTGCTTAGCAGGTAGGTTAGAAATACTCCAAATAAATACTGTTATGTGTTACATTTATGTATCCTGTGTGTGTTTAGAGCCCTTAATTTTTTGATCATGTTCATTTTCTAATTTTCTGTTTGCTTTTTCTGTCTTGTAAAACTATTTTGTTGAAATAAAGAAATGTTAGGTAATCACCCCCTTGAGCCAACTTAAGTGGGCGGACCACCAACCTGTCAGTCCTCATTATGACATCAGGTGATTGACAAATGAGGGTTTCCCATCCACTTGTCAAAGCGGACCTATGGGCTTGGGGGTGATAAAGATCTGGCCTGCTGGGCCCAAAAGGTTCCTCAGACTTGCACTATAGGACCATCAGCTAATCTGTTCTTGTCAGTAGCAAACTAGTTATGGCTTCCTTGCTGCTTTTAGCAAGGACAAACACTGATGAAGGAGCACAAGCTGCTGTTGGGAGTAGGAGGAGTTTCCAGTGGGAGGATACCAGAAGTGCCTTGTGCAAGTGTTATGTTTCATCATAAATTTTATAATTTTCATTAAACGTGTGTAAGCGGTTTTCTTCTTCTCTTCCTCTTCTCTTCCTCATGTGGATAGTGTTTAGACTGCAGGCATAGGCAAACTCGGCCCTCCAGATATTTTGGGACTACAACTCGCATCATCCCTGACCACTGGTCCTGTCAGCTAGGAATGATGGGAGTTATACTCCCAAAGCATCTGGAGGACCGAGTTTGCCTATGCCTGGTTTAGAGCAAGAATAGTCTAGAAAATGTAATCATTATTTCTGTAATTTGATTATAAGAACTAGACAAATAACATATTTTACGGCACATGCTGGTCTGTGAGTTTCCTGAAATATATTTTTTAACATTTAGAATATGTTATGTGGTTTCAAGACATGTGCAAGCTAAACATGCCTGCATTTTAACATCTTATAACATCTTATAAGTTCAAAACCATGCATTCATTTGAATGTGATCTTGTACCCAGCAGGACATGAAAATGACTGTTTTAAAGTAAAATGAATGCTAAATAATAAAGGCTGGCTAAATTTTCAGCATGATACCCAGTTAGGAAATGAAGTACGGTTCCACAGCAGTCTTAAATTTCAACCTAGTATGACACACACAATCAAAAAAGAGAGAAGTTTCATGTTGAAGGAAGTATGTTTCCTGCTGCTTTACTACATATAAAATCTCATTCATAACTACACTAATGCATGTTTTATTTGCATATGAATTGAATGGCATATATTGAAATGTAGTTCTGAAGATAGAATTTCTTCATCATTATTAGGATTTGTTCCATTCCAAATTCCCCTGTTGAGCACAAAAACCTAATATTGCCTATATAAAACATCTCTTTGTCCCAGGGAGTCAACTACTTCATGTCCAATGGAATACTGGATGATTCACCAAAGGAAATAGCTAAGTTTATCTTCTGTACGAGAACACTAAATTGGAAGAAACTGAGAATCTATCTTGATGAAAGGTAACTTTATTATAAACTGGGAAGCATTGTATTCCCTTTTATTTAGTAGAGTTGTATTTTCATTTGAAACACTGGAAGAATGGGGCATTAGTTAGTAATAAAATACATCAATTTAGTGACGGCAAAGCTGAGGATCTTTTTAAATTCTTTTTTTGGCACTTTACCAATGAAATTTTCCCAGTAGTGGAAAAATGTGTTGATAGCTAGTTTCTTGCAATAGAAATCTAGCATTAATTGGAATGATGCTCCTCTGCTCTTCATCAAACACTTCAAATTCTGGAAAGGAAAGTAATCCCTCAGTTAAAATCGTATTCAGGTTGCATCTGATACCCACTTGCCCCAGTTATAGAATAATTTCTTTAGCCATATTAGGTTCAAACTAGTAAGCACTACTTGCTATAGTGCTTGAGCAAATTCAGATATTCTTGATACTATTTTAAAAATATACTGTCCATATATGGTATTGAGGATTTCCTAGGAATAATTATTTGTTTACATGCTCAAGACTATCTCTGGGTTGCTGCCCTGGGACAGCTATCTAGCTTGCAGAAGGAATTCCAGAGCTGTTTTCTTGACTGCTAACTTTGGTTTTTATCGGCTCACTATGTACTGTATGGAATTGTGGTGTCTGCTGCTGCTGATGATGATGATCATCAACAACAACAACAGTCAGAGTTGTGATTCTGTTTATAACATATCTTGGGAGAAAAAGTGAGAGCCCCTCACTTTTATCCAGTCCATGAAAGTCCATGTATTCTACAAAATGTTTACGCCATAATAAATTTATTCCTGTTAAGGTACCACAACACTGTTGATCTATCCAGGGAGTTTTCTTTTAAACTGAAGCAAAGGATAAAGTAATGAAAGGCTAAAAAAGCCAAGCAGATGTAGGAGTAAGAAAATGGAACATGTAAATAGGCCCTTAGAAAGAGAAAAAGCAAAGTGTATAACAGGAAAAAACCCAAAAATGTTCCATATACAAAAACCCATAGACAAATGTCAGAAAGGATATCAAAGTGATCTGAGGATGAAATGAGTTTTAGAGACAACTCATTTTGGTAAAAACCTGGACTGTAATTGGAGGCTGTAACTAACTTATAGCAGAGGTGCCTGTTGTGACCTGCTTCCTGTATACCTCTTCCATCATGTGTTTTCTTCCTTTTATCTGACATTCTCCATTGTAAATGTGTTCACATAAAATGTACCGTATTTTTCGCTCTATAACACGCACCCGACCATAACACGCACGTAGTTTTTAGAGGAGGAAAACAAGGAAAAAAAATATTCTAAATGAAACAGTGGATGTATGATTTTTGTGGTTCATGCTGTGGCCAGAGACATGTGATCTGACAGTGAGTTTGGAGTAGCCCAATGCAAAAATCCTGAGGATCCATGTGGATCCATGCTTTGTAACCACGTTTTTGCACCACTGCGGCCCCAGGCAACAGTGGGTGCGTGATTTTTTTGGTGCAAGATGTAGCCATGGACATGCTATGTGATCTGATGGTGAATTTGGGGTGACCCAGTGCAAAAATCCTGAGGATCCATGTAGATCCGTGCTTTGTAACCACGTTTTAAGTGGGGAGGGAAGGAAAAGCACTCAAGGGACAAGGAGCACGCGTGGGGTGTGTGGAGAAGGATGCTGCTAATAATGCAGAAGAGGGGTTTAAGGGGAGAAGGAGCACGCGTGGGGTGGGTGGAGAAGGATGCTGCTAATAATGCAGAAGAGGGGTATAAGGGGAGAAGGCTCCTCTCCTCTCCCACTTTGCTCCTTTAAAGCAAGCAGGCTCTGCTTTCTCCCTCCTCCCCGCTCATCCCCGGCTTAGCGAGCTGAAAAACTTTGCTGCTATTTAGCGAGCTGAGTGGGGAGGAGAGAGGGACAGAGAGCCTGCTTGCTTTAAAGGAACCAACCGGACAGGAGCCGCTTACACTCGTGTAAGCGGCTCCTCTCCCGCTTTGCTCCTTTAAAGAAGCAGGCTCTCTGTCCCTCTCTCCTCCCCACTCAGCGGCTCTTCTCCCGCTTTGCTGTTTCAAAGCGAGCCACGGAGGAGGGAAGGAAGGGGAACCATGGATCCTCTGCTCACGACTGCAGCAGATCCCCCCCGCCACTCGTAGGCATTCCTTCCATAACACGCACAGACATTTCCCCTTACTTTCTAGGAGGAAAAAAGTGAGTGTTATGGTGCAAAAAATACGGTATTATTGTTTAGTATTATCTGTAGTTGGCTTTGTTTATTTGTCAGTTGATGGCTCAGGTGTTTGAAATATTAAGGTTTCAGTTCTGTACATACGTACCTGGGAAGTAAGCTCCTTGGAAATTGCCTACGTAGGATTAGGTTGTAAATTGTATTGGAAATATTTTGAAAATGTTCATGTACAGTGGTACCTCGCAAGACGAATGCCTCGCAAGACAAAAAACTCGCTAGACGAAAGGGTTTTTTGTCTTTTGAGCTGCTTCGCAAGACGATTTTCCCTATGGGCTTGCTTCGCAAGACGGAAACGTCTTGCAAGTTTGTTTCCTTTTTCTTACCACCGTTAATACAGTTGCGACTTGACTTCGAGGATCAACTCATAGAACGTGGTTTGGTAACCTTTATTGAGGTTTTTAAAGACTTTGGTGATTTTTGAAGCTTTTCCAAAACTTTCCCGACACCGTGCTTCACAAGACGAAAAAAATCGCGGAACGAATTAATTTCGTCTTGCGAGGCACCACTGTAATCTTGATTGGCGCTTACTGAGAGCTGTTGCAACCTGAAAAGTTTGAGGAAGTGTCCAGGATATACAGTCTCATGGACAATGCCATGCAGATTCTTAAGGTTGGGTGCATTAAGAGCTGAACACTCAAAGAGCCATCTTGTGATTGAAAACAGCAGCCTCAGAACTGTTACTTATTTTTCCAGCTCTAGTAGCTATCAATGAACCAGTCTTACAGACTACTGTACTACATGCATATATGATATATGACCTTCATCAGATGTTTGCATTACAGTGGCATATCTGATTGCATTACAGTGCATTGTTTCAATATTTTAAAAGAACTGTTAGTCTTATTGCCATATCTTTCTCTAGCAGAGGGAGGTTTTGTTTTCCATTATTTGCATATCTTGATAAGTTATGATGTCTGGTTTTTTTTACAGTATGTTGTTGATACATACAGACTTGCAATGCAATATATTTTTGCCATTCTATATCCACAGAAAGAACATAACTATACATATTGCAACACCCTTTAACCAATGGACAGGAATCATAATACTTAGGTGTGATTTGTACTATAAAGAACACCAATCGTGCTAAATATATGTTAGGCTGAACTGTATACTGTTTGTTCTGGTTTGTAGATCTTCTCTTATTAAGTCTGAAATGAAGGATTTAAAACAGAAAAGTAACCCTCTCCCCAAAGTCTTTATGGTTACAGTTCTATACACACCTGGGGGTAGGTTCCATTGCATTCACTGGGACTTGCATCTGAGTAGATTTGCATAGGTTTCACTGATAAGTTTCAAAAATGTGTTTTGCACAATTGTCACTTGTCTTAAAAGGCTTTTCTTTTTCCTTTTTTTTAAATTAGGCGAGATGTTTTAGATGACCTTGTGACACTACACAACTTCAGAAATCAATTCTTGCCAAATGCACTAAGAGAGTTTTTCAAGCACATTCATGCCCCTGAGGAGCGTGGTGAATATCTTGAGACTCTTATTACAAAGTTCTCACACAGATTTTGTGCTTGTAACCCTGATTTGATGAGAGAACTTGGCCTTAGCCCAGGTAAGAAGAAATGGCCTGCAGTTTAGATGGTGTGGAGTGTTGTTTTGTAGTATTAATCAAGTCCTGACAAATATGAAAATGTTTCTTTTTAGGTCTTGCATGATTTAAGAGCTCTGAATCTGCATATCCTTATGGCTTAGTAATGCGTTAATGGAATTTATTTCCCAGTAAATATAGTTACTGTAACCCAACACAGGCTTATGTTACTTTTAAGGTCAGATTGGTTTTAGTGTAATTTGATCACCAGTAACTACACAGTGGATTGTTCAGGTTAGATGGACACCTCTAGTAAGCATTGCGTACAGCATTCCAAGTATAGTCATATTCTCTGTGCTCCATTCCTTTACCTGTGATTGTTTCTTCTTTAACACAAGAATATTGATGCATCATAGGTGAAGCTTGTTAGAGCAAGAGATAGGACTATTTTGGAATTGGAAGCCCAGTTATAGAACACCTCCAGGAAGACACATGTAGCAAAAAAAACCACCAATCCACCAGACAAAGCTCTCTCTTTTTTTTCACCCAACCATTTAAAAACACTTATGATAATAAAAAACATTTTAAGTACTCTTAGTTGATCCAGACAGTCATGCTTAGAGTAGACCCAAGAAAACCCCAAGAAAAACATAGGCAGGGCCCTGCCCTAAAAAATATTTGTTTAAAAATTTGTTGTTGTAAAAAGTTGTGTTTTCTTAAAATGTTATCTGTTCAAAGTCATGACTTTTTCTTCCCTTTCCCCTTAGATGCTGTCTATGTACTATGCTACTCTTTGATTCTGCTTTCCATTGATCTTACTAGTCCTCATGTGAAAAATAAAATGTCAAAGAGAGAATTTATCCGAAATACACGCCGCGCTGCTCAGAACATTAGTGAAGATTTCGTTGGGCACCTTTATGACAATATCTACCTTATAGGCCACGTGGCTGCCTAAAAAGCACAATTTGCTAGGACTTAGAATTTATAGTTTAAAAGGAATTGGATCTCCAATGAGATTTGGGTTTTGTTTGTTTTGTTGGTAGATATGGGGGTTATATTAGTGCTGGTCATTCTAACCTCCGTCTGCAATCAAAAATGTACAAGAACAACTTTTTTTAGCAATTTACCATGAGAACTGAAGAATTTTGGATTTTTTAAAAATTTTGCTTACAGTTTGCACAAAAATTACCATTAGTTTGACATGTTACAATTTCTGAATGTTAAACTGACATTATGATTTTAAACTGACAAGATGGTGGACTTATGCAGTAGATTTGCTTGAACACTTTAACCAGTTCTTTTGTTTTTTTTAAATACCATGTAATGTGTACATATTTAAAGAGATTTATAACCATAATTATTTTATTGTAAAATATTTTAACTAAAAAATTTCCTGTCTCTCTCTAGACTAGACTATGTCTTTTCGTATTTATTTCTTTACTTTGTGAGACTGCTCTGGTTCATTTTGCTGTTGCCTTTGTTTAATAGCATTTGGTGTGCACACTCTTCAAAAGCTAATTTAAAGACACAAAGCATTTTAGATTCTAAGCTGCCATTTACAGCCACCAGCCTAGCATAATTGGGTAGTATCTGGCTGTCTTTGTGCCTCAGTGTTTAGTGCCTTAAAACGTTTTTGTAGCTATAGCTCCTCAGGGTTGGGTGACTTCATAGCAGCTGCCCAGAAATAGTAATAATAAAAAAATTAACACTGAAAATCATGGAGGTTATGCAAGAACAGTTGCATTACAGCTGATTCATTTCACTTCCACTTAAGCAAGAGACATTCTTGGTGAATTTGACCTAGAATTAGTGGCTGGGATCCTTTGCACAAGCCTAAGGCATTTCTGTTTGCATACGGTCCCTCTTACCCAATTTCCACCAATTCCTCCTGTTCAAGTCCTGACCCAACTATTCAGAAAGATCGATGATGCTCAGGAATTCTTGAGGTGGGAGAAATGAGAAAAGCGCATTGTATGTGTGAAGTTCCACCTATGCAATGTTAACAATTAAATCTCTCTCCTGCCTGGAGTATCTGAAGTGTGCCTTGCAAATGGAAAATTCTCCTTTCTCAGTTACTTTCTGCTGCTACCTACTACAGTGCCTGTGAATAGGTTGTGAGAATTATCTGAGCGGTATTGTTCACCAACAGCAGCACAAGCAGTACTTGAGCTGGCACAGGTGAAACACAATAATCATAACTCACAAGTGGGAAAACGTCCATTTCCCCCTCAGTTATAGCTGGTGTCCATTTTTCTGTAGAATAGTCCACCCAAGAACTATATATGCTCATGGAGTTTCACAGTATGAAAACTAAGGGTCCTGATTATGATAATGAAATGTTAAAGAAGATATTTAAAAGCTATGGAAATTAAGCAGCTTGGGTTCCTTTCATTTCTGCACAAATAACTGAACCTGCTTTTTTTCCCTTTGACCAATCCCAGTGTGTGGAAATAGGCTATTTTCTTTTTTGGGTGAGGGAGGATAAGGTTTTTATTAAAAAATCTCGTAGGGATAGTAGTTAAACCCTCTCCATCCCTGAATATAGGCATAACTAAAGCCAGCTTTGATATGGAATATAACTCATGCTATAATGTAGACAAACATTAGCCACAGGAAAAGTTTGAGTCCCAATATAAAAACTTACCCAGGGCCTCAGAATTTCCATAGAAAACCCAGACATCCAGAAGCAAAGAAATGTGTTCAATGTGTAAATTTCAGTTCCATGTTTTGTAGATGTTCAGTATATCAGTTTCATTCAGTTTTATTTTAGATACGAAAAAAATCTTGTAAAGCTGCTATTCCTTGTTTTCAGGGCTACTCTGTATCTTTTGCAAAGCAAGTTAAACCCACCCTACATTTGGGAGGATACATTTAATATATCTTTAAACATGCAATAAGTTAAAACATTTCTCAAAGCTTCAAATAAAGGACAAATTTGAAGAATCATCTACTGACTAAAAGGTCCTCGACTGACAAAGGCTGCGTGTGTCTGTTTTGAAAAGATTTAAAACACCACTTGAAGTAATGTGGTGTTGACAGTGCTTGATAATGCTATTTAATTCATTATAATTGGTTTTTCCCAATTACTAGGATTCATGATTTATGCGAACTACTCATTTGTAGTTTCTTAGCTTGACAAACTGGTATTACTTTTCAGCCAATATAAGTGCATAGCTACACCATTTAGAAGAAACTCAAAATTACACTACAGATTTCTTTAAAAAGAAAAAGGGGGGGAAGGCAGGCATGCTTCCTAGTGAATTGCAAATGAAGGCATGAAATGCAGATTGAGGAATATGTTGCCCCTTTTTATGGTTATTTTAAATAAATATCTCACTCAATAAGCTTAGAGTTGATTACCAGCTTTTTCTTTTTTTTTTACTGCTTTTAGAAAATCGTCTCCTCTAATCTCCAAAGCATTATTTAAATGAACAAAGGACAGACTTGAAGGATTTCCTGTTTCCCTTGCCATGCATGTTTTGGCTTCATTTTCATTTAAAGTGTAATAAGATACAAACTTCACAATCTGCATGCAAATCTGTCCCACTGTGCTAAAAGGCTTTTAATATTACTATAGTGCAGTCCTAAGGATGGCTATGCAGATGTAAGTATAAAGTTCAATGGGATGTTAGCTTTAACTAGATTATTATTAAACTGATAAATAAGAGTCCTTCAAATAGCATGCATGTTTAGGTATAAATCTAAGCTTGCACTTTAACTATTTTGACAGTGCTGTTTTTTTAGGAACTCTCTTGTTAAAGGTTTGTATGCAATGCACGTTTGTGATCAAATAGTCACCCAACTATTCTGTGGCTCTGTGAGCCACATTTTCAACACAGTTTGGTTGTGAAATTGGACTTTTAATTTTACAATGAAATTAAAATCATTTGCACCCTTAGTTAACCCTATGTCTGTCTTCTGACTAAGAGCTGCAACTTCATTGACATTTAAAACAAAGCAATTGGCAGTGGTGCTCCAGCTGTGCAGAACTGAAATCTGCAGATCCTTCCAGTATCTATGAAAAGGAAGGAACCCATTGGCCACACCTTAATCAGTATGGCAGCTTTAGCTATATGCTCCACACAAGCATCCAGAGGGTTGCCCACCCTGCTCCATGGGGTTCAAAGCCCTCATGGGCAAAACTTGGAATCCGGGCAACTTCCATTTTACATGGGGGTTACATTCCAGGGCATCACACACATCTGTGAAATCGCATATATTTGAAACAGCATTGGAAAAGCCTGCAAACACTCTATCCCGCCCCTTTTTGTGACATTAATGGGTCACTTCCGGGTTTGGGTTGATGCGTGTGTGCACGGTCGCACACATATTGAACACACATAAATGGGGAGTTGCCTGTAATCTATCACCATAAAGTGACTTGGGGCATTCCCTGATAACTCATCTGCTCTTAGAGTAAGTTAAAGAGAGAGAAAGAACTAGGCCTGTTTCCCACAGTGTGGCACCTCCCCAGGTTGCTTGGTTGGTTGGTTTTTTTAAAAACTTAGTTGGCCATGAAGCAATCAACCTGACCTATACTGCCGCCTTAAGGGTGGGGGTGAGAATGTCCAAAGAATGTCAGCAAGCAGCAAGGCTGGTTTAGCTTATGCCGTGCCAACTTGTTTAAAGCTGCTACCTTTGTTTGCATGCTGGAATGTTGTCTTGCCTCCGTCCGCTGTGTTCAATGACACCGCCAACCCACTTATTGTTTGGGGCATGCTGGAACAGGGTGCACACGAGTGGGACAGAAACTGGCATTCTAGTGTCTGTCCATGGTGCTATGTTCACTTTGCCCTCAGCTTTTCATAGAATGGAGACATAGTGATCAGATTGATTTCAGCTGTAGATTTCTTCCTCCTCTGCAGCTAAGGAGTCTCTTCATAAATAAGCTAGAAGCCCTGTACTGTTGGAAGAAGAGAAATGAAAAAGGCTGTAGCAGTGAATTTAACCCCCCTAATCTGTTGCAATCCCTCTGGCTTATGCTAGCCATTTTTGGCTTCCAAAACAAGATGAACCAGCTCTCTTTCAATTGGCTATAGCTCCATTTTTTACCAGAGACAGCCAACCAAATAACTGTCTGCAAGTTCAACCACAGTGTTTTTTTTTAAAGAAACCAACACTTCCTCTTCACCATGTTTATATAGAATGAGAGAATATGGAGTGTGTTCTGTGAAACCTCTTTCCACGGGAGGCTCAACAAAATCTGAATGCATGGCTGTCCCTACCATTAGGTAGAGTGGGGCAATCACCTCAGGTGGCAAATGTTTCTTTGTGTGCAACATGGCCATCCTGCACCTCCCACAACTACGTAGCTTGCTGTCCTTGGATGCAATGGAGAACAACATTTGCTGCCAGCATACCTAATCAGTTTCTGTATGTGGACTAGAGGGGGCAAGGAGTACCATTTTGCCCTGCACTGCAGGCACCATTAACAGACCAAAGTCCAGCCCTGTCATTATGAGGCCATTTTTCAGAAAACAAATCCCAGTACCCAAATTCAGTGGGTCTAGTTTGGTAAACTTAACTAGATACAACGCTTGAATCCAGCTGCAAGGAGTCCCTTTCAGAAATAATACTTTACAGTTTGTGATGTTTTCATATTTTATATTATTGTGTGCTTGGGGTGAAGCAGATTGAGAATCAAATAAAAATTGTGAGGAAATGGAGAAGAGTTCTAGCTGGGCCGGAAAATTCAGCCCATCACTAAGTCAGGTTAGAAACTGTTATTTCCTCTCTGTATGTATACTTCAAAATCTGTTCATTTGGAGAGCTACAAGGCTGGGATATTGGGTCTTTTTCCAAAGGCATTTTCATTTGTAAAAGTTAGCCTCCTTCTTGGCAACGAGGAGGAATGTTGTATTTAATTTAAAATGATTAATGAGATTTTGTCAGACTCCTGCCCTCTACCGCCACTGCAGTATGTCAGAACAACAACCTGGGAAAACGGACGCCACTCTGTCGCCCCAAACAGCTTTCCAGGAAAAATTAAAGCTGAGTAGCCAGCACCAGGTACTTGTCAATGGTATTGTCTTTTGGTTGCTTGACAGTTAAATGCCAAGTTAAGATATTTACCTGTTTGGGACAGAGGGGCCTACATTAGTTACTTTAGTAGGGGTCTCTCTCTTTTATGCTAGAGATCAATATTCGGTTTCTGTTGTTTTCTAAAAACAGAATGTCTGTTTTCCCCCAAACAACCCAATAAGAAAAGATATGACAGTCTTGTTGGATTTTGAGAGAGATAAGACTCTCCCTGCTCACAGATTAGAATAGCAGACAAGAAAGCAAGAAATAACCTGATTTTGAGGTGAGCCTCATACAGATCCTTTGCAGCAGAACTGTGAATGTGATCCGATTGTAAGATATAATATGAATCAGCATGAGACCCTGCAGATGATTGCTTCTGTGTCATCGTCCAAAACGTGGCACTCCAAAGAGACTGAGGAAACAATGGTAACTAAAGCCTTAGCTGCCATCTCACTCTGTTATTCCTGGGAGAAAACCCCACTGATCTCCATTTGGCTTACTTGAGTAAACTTGTAGAGCAGGGGTAGGCAACCTAAGGCCCGGGGGCTGGATGCGGCCCATTCGCCTTCTCAATCCTGCATGCGAACAGTCCGGGAATTAGCATGTTTTTACATGAGTAGAATGTGTCCTTTTATTTAAAATGCATCTCTGGGTTATTTGTGGGGCATAGGAATTCATTCATCCCCCCCCTAAAAAAAATATAGTCTGGCCCACCACATGGTCTGAGGGACGGTGGACCGGCCCACAACTGAAAAAGGTTGCTGACCCCTGTTGTAGAGGATTACACAATTAAGCTAGGTGCATCTACATATGTATGTACTGCCTTATTTGACAACCAGTGCAAACCTATGCGAGTTTGTCCTCTTAGTGGTGCAGCTATATAACAGCTAGCACATTTGCAAAGCTAAGCAGGATCCAGTATGGTTTCAAATTGGATGGGGGACTATGCGTTGAGATTCCTGCATAGCAGGGGGTTGGACCAGATGACCCTTGGGACCCCTTCCAACTGCAACTCTATTCTTCTCCAAAGTAAGCCTCACTAACGACAATGGGACTTCATCACAAGTAAGTGGGTATAGGATTACAGGCAAAGAATTTTAAAACAAAACCTTTAGCCATCTAGAATATTTTCAGCTTTCCACTTCAAAAATAATTACATTTTTAATCCTTTTATTGACTGTTAATTATGCAGCTACAATTGTACCCAGTAACTTAGCAACAGCTGACCCTGTCGAGAAAGACATAACTATAGAAACAATATCGTAAGTTTGTCAAATTAATACAAGAAAACCTAAGCTTAAGTCCATGCTCAAACAGAAATTCCGCCTTTGGCCTTAGTTAAACTGCAGTCATTCTGGATGCATTAAGAAGAGTATTTTTGATGTGTTTCATCTCAGGTTTGCGTTCTCCGTTCTTTTCAACCTCTTTGTTACACAGGTAACAAAGAACCTTCTTCCTTGAATTGTGTTGTTCCTTCCCTCCCCTGAATTTATGTGCATGCACCTATTCACCTCCCAAAATGCTTTGCCACAGTGATGGAAAATGAGCGATTCTGGTATAGAGCTAGCATAATAGGGCTTTACTTGTTGAATTTATTCATGTTAGGCAGTTGTGAAAGACACCCACCCACCCTAAATCTCTGTTTTCTGTGACATTTTATTAAGTCTGCATATCTGCCAGGTTAGCCGGAGGGTGGTGATTAAACTATCTGTCCTAGGTTTTTTTCTGGCTTTCTGGCCCCCTCTTTCTCTGTCTTACGCTTTCTCTTGTCATTTGACTTCTTGCAAGGTATTTGGAGATATTACAGCAAATCTTTCCCCCTGATGTCTCCAATCAAGGGGAGAGGCCTGTCTGCTTCCCCTTTGCAGAGCGCCTGCTGGTTATCTGTAGTAGCATCAAGGGCATGAGCAGCTGCTATAAAGCAGGGTTAAGCAAAGCAGCCTCCAGGGATTGCAACTCTGCCCTGGGAAAAATTAATCATCCTGTCCTTGCTTAGACTCTGAGCCTGGGAAGGGCCTTTCCAGTTAAGAAACTCACTGGTGAAGAGGTCCATTCCATTTTTTAGCTGCAGTCTGAAAGTGTCCAGTTTGATCCTAAGATTCTGATCCTAAGCACAATTAGGAATTATTCACACAACCCATCACATACTTTGTAGCCACAGGAAGTCTGAGCTGGGTGCATTGGCTCCCAGACTGTGGCATACATGAACCAGTCTGCACACAGGTGGTAGATTAAGTGGGTCCTGAAACAAAAGGTTGCATTATAGAGGGCTGTGTTACACAAGTTTAGAAAAAAAGATTCTTACTCTCCAGTAGCAGGGTTAGCAGAATGGAGATTGCTCCAAGCACATTAAAACTGAGTTTGACTTGCATCTGCCCCCATCCACCTTTAAACAAACATTCCCCATAAAAATACTTAGGCTAGAATAAATCACACACTCTTAGCTTCACAAATAAGTGAATATTTTACTCACTGAGTTTTCAGAAGTTACAGAAAACAAGTCTTCGTCAGTTCGCAGTAAAACAAAGATGAAAAAAAATTCCAAATGACTTATAAAAAGAAAAGAACTTGGTTTCCTTTCAAAAAGGATTGTGCAATATTTGAGTTAGGAAAGGTACAGGCTTTAACATATCTTTTTAGGGAGATTCCTTTCACTTTCAGGGAGCCATGGTAGTAGCATGGCCACTTTGCTTGTTCCAGGAAGCACAAAGAGAAAAATAATGAGAAGCGGGGAGCAAGTGCTCCCCTTAGGGGTTCCCCCCCTCTTGGGACCAGCTAATATCTCTCCCTCTTGTCCATGCATAGTGCCCTCTTGACTAGATAAGGATCCACACTTAAAGAATGCATAAGATACTAAGAGATTCCAGAACATGAAAGTGGTAGTAAGTGCCTAAGTTCAGCTCACTATTTATAGTGCCTTCAGTTTACGTAGTGCTTCACAGAATAATATTTACAGAAGGTACCAGCCCAATGCATGCAATTATTACAAGCAATCACCAGGATCCCAAGTAATGGTGTATTATTCTAATCAGAGGGGGTTTTCATTCCAATATGCCACAGTCAGATCATTAATACGTTTACTCCTTTCAAGTGCAGGAATTGCAAAAAGGTAGTATAAACCTGATGTCACATGACTGGGTTCAGTGGGACTTGTTCCTAAAAGGATGGCACTGCAGCCTTAAATTAGTTTTTGTATTTACATTGCCTTGTCATTCAGATATGAGGCATTCATTGGCTTGAATTTACATTGAACCGCTTTCTATCCTAATTAACAAGTGAAGTATTTAGTCCATAAATTTTGGGATTGGAACCAAGGTCATAAACCCATTGATACAAAAATTCATTTCTGGTTTCCCACAAAATATTCTCTTTCAACAAGCTTGCTTTTTTTGTGGGGGACGGGAGTAGTTGTTAAAGTTAAAAACCCATGGTGATCTACTGCAAATCACACAAATATCTACCAGCAGGTTTTGATCTACCTTCTACCTCACTTCTAGTGTAGAAGATGACATTGTGTAAAGTTCAGTTGTTTGTGTAGTGATAGTTGTGATAAGAAAAGTTGCACCTTGTGAAATTCCCTCTTCTTTGCATAGATACAAGAGCTGTTTTGCCACTGATCATGCAATTTCTAGGAATGGCAGTTTGCCATTTCTGATGGTGGGAACTATTTTATAGCACTTCACATCCATTGTCTCAGTTTATGAGAACTACTTTTGAAAAAGAAACAATTACCAGTTATTCAGCCCTTTTGTGTTGCTGATTTTATGCATTACTTAATATTATGATATAGGCAATAATGATCTGATTAACATTTATTTACAATAATCTCCATGTTCTGAGAAGGGTATAACACAGCCTTAAAGCCACCCTTAGATTTCCACAGATCAGCCATCATTTATTTTTTAAATATATATATGCTGCTATATTATTTTTTTTAAGCCGTTTACAATGATTTCCACATACATTTTTTTAATTAAAAAAAATCCCACATAAAATTTAAAATTAGAAATCATCAACTTAACTGTTACAGAAAGGTGTCCTCCTAATTGTCTGCATAAGCCTGGCAGCAAAGAAAGGTTTCAAGAGGCGTTTAAAGGTTAAAACAGAAGGCGCCTGTTGAATCTCTATTGACAGAGCATTCCATATAAATCTTTGCCTCTGACATACACGTTCTGTTGCATCAGGCAGGGTTTGCTAAACAGAGTACTTTGGTACTCAAGGTGTTAACCACACAACAGTGGAGAGTGAAGTGCCGTAGCAGGCACATTTATGCGTGGCCTTGTGAAAAAGTGAATGCTTGTAGTCTTATTGCATTGTCTGAGAAACTGGGACAAACAGTGTTCTGTTTAAGAATTGCCCTACTGGCTCAGAGCAAGTTCTCCCTAGTCCAGAATTCTGCCTCCATCAGTGGCCAATAATAAAAAAAAAATCCTCCTCGTGCTTGGTATTTGGGTATACTCTCCATAATCCTGAGAATTCCATTTAGTGATCAGGTTTCCATTTGTAATGGCAGCTAATCTCTAAAGACTGGATGTCGTCAGAGCAGGTCGTCATCACAATCTCGGAATACCAAATTCCATGCAACAAGATTACCCATTCCCATCAGGAATCATGCTGATAATGCTGTTTTTCTGGCTATGCCATATTAATTCAGCATCTGTAGTGAGCAATAATCCTAGGGTTCCCGTTAAGTCCAAGTTGAGTAGAACCAGATTTGCTGACCAAAATTTGATTCTATTCAGTTTGTATTTAATCAGAACGGTGGGTCTCATGAAAGCTATGTTATGTTAGCAAAACATTGCTAGAAAGGCAGTATTATCATGATGACTGGCCACTCGGATCTTACATTGTAGCTTTTTTATGCTCCAGAATGACATTTTGTGGCGAGATCTTCTCCATGGCCCTCTCTGTCTCCAGTGGCAGAATTCCAGCAGCACCCTCTGTGACACCAAAATTAGCACCCCTGCTTCTTCTACTCTAGTCTATAGAATAGTTGTTGCATCCCCAGCAGCACCCCTGAGGCTCCCCACCAGGTGTCATGCCCACCTAAATCCACCTCTGCTGTCTCCTTATTTGTGTTAACAACATAATATTCCATGCATCTAATGAAGTGGGCTCTAGCCAATGACTCTGCAAAAGCTCACACTGTGATATACCCACAAATCTTTAAGGTACCATTAAACCCTTTACTGTTCCTGCTACTACAGGCTTCCCATGGAGGAAAGGACTATTGATGGCTACTAGCTATTTTGGCTATGCTCTTTCTCCATAGTTGGAGGAAGCAGTGCTTCTGAATACCAGTTGCTAGAAACCATAGGAGGGTAGAGGGCTTTTGTGCTTGAATTGTGCTCTTGGCTTTCCCATAGGCATCTGACTACTTGCCACTGTGAGAACAGGATGCTGGACCAGATGAGCCATCGGCTTGATCCATCAGGCTCTTCTTATGTTCTTACTAAAACAGGCTGGTGCTGGAGGAGACTCTTGAGAGTCCCATGGACTGCAAGAAGATCAAACCTATCCATTCTTAAGGAAATCAGCCCTGAGTGCTCACTGGAAGGACAGATCCTGAAGCTGAGGCTCCAATACTTTGGCCACCTCATGAGAAGAGAAGACTCCCTGGAAAAGACCCTGATGTTGGGAAAGATTGAAGGCACAAGGAGAAGGGGACAACAGAGGACGAGATGGTTGGACAGTGATCTCGAAGCTACCAACATGAGTTTGGCCAAACTGCGGGAGGCAGTGGAAGACAGGAGTGCCTGCCGTGCTCTGGTCCATGGGGTCATGAAGAGTCGGACACGACTAAACGACTCAACAACAACAACCACAAAACAGGCTATCCAGTTCAAATTCTATGTCTTATTTGGGGAGGGAAGAATACTTTCTTTTGTTTTCACTAACCTACTGCCAATCAAATCCTTTGATTAATGTTGAATTCAGGAGGAAAAGTGGATCTTCTATCCATGCCATACGTATCTTTATCAAGCCTTCTGAATTTTGTTTTGTCAGGATGATGTCCTCATAGCAGTCAAAAACATATTTTCCACTCCCCTACCTGATCTATCCCTGTTTGTATGTGCAATTTAGGCTTTAGCCCTATGCCCTTGTTTGGGAGTAAGCCGACTGAACTCAATGAAACTTACTCCTGAAGTAGCCATGTATAGGATTGTGCTGTTAGTGGTTTGTGCCACATACTCTTACCGTACAGATGCCTCCGTATTAACTCAGATACAAATCCTATTTTGCTCACTGGTGCTTTCTCCCTAAGTAATTGTGTTCAAGTTGCATTGCAGTCAGCTTGAAGTCATGTTACTCCAAAGCAAATAAACAAAAACCCTCCCCATACTTCTCTGCTCCTACACACAATATAATCAACACTGTAATGTAGATTGGAATCTGTTCTTGTACCTATTAACCCCCATTAAATAATGGAGAATGATCACTAGGATGGAAATTCTGATTCTGTTGTGGCTGAAACAAAGGCTGCTGTCTCTGATTTTAACTTCAGCTCATGTGTGCAGAACATGCTAGCTTTTATAGCATTTCAACCTCTTGAGTAAATGGATCTGTTTCAGTATTTCAAAACAAAACACCAGAAGATTAAATGCTCATTTCAGAGGGGGTATCCTGTCCAGAAATAATTCTACATTCTTAACTGCTTTGAAGTTGACTAAGGGTTTGAATTTCAAGAATTATTTTAGATTATAAGGATATAAATATTTACACATTCAGCTGGGGGAAGGGGAGAGAGGTTCTATTAATTTCCAGCTAGCCATATTTCAAATACGTAGTCAAGACCTTTTCTCTCTCTTTCTCTTAAATGTATCAATATCTTTGCAGACACACGAGGGTGGGGAAGCAGCAACATGTTTACAGTCTTAGAGAAACAAGATAGCTGCAAGTCTTCTGAACAATTTGTTGCCAATTTTGGTTAAACGGATGGTACCCGGCAAATCTACTACCCGCGCAGGGCAACCCTGTTGTATCTTTACGCAGAAGCAGACTCTGCTAGGTTCAATGGGTCTCACTCCTAAGTAAGCATGCATAGGACTGGTATCTCAGGCTACAATCATATGCCCACATTGCTAAGACTGGGAGTTAGACCCATATAGACGGTAGTGGAACTTACTTCCGAGTAAACATGCATACTGTAAACTACTTTTCCCCATTCCCGTTAAGACTTGTTCCTTGCTTACACACAAAAACCTGCAGTCCATCACTCAAACTTCAAAGATGTATGAAACAGCTTGACTCCGTAACCAAACTCCGGATAAAACAAACAGCTTGATTACGCAGGTTACTCGGGAGTAAGTCCTATAGAGTTCAATTGGAGTTAACAGGCACATAACTGGGCCTGCAGATTTCCTTAGGATCGGGCCTGGGATCTGCGATTTAATTTGATTTTAAATCGGTTCGAATCCAAAGGCATTTTTTAAACAATAAGGACTGCTTTGCACGAGAGATTGGTAACAGGGAGAGCTAGCTACTGTTGTTGGAAAGCGAACATACTCTTTTTGTTCTAGTTAGGGGTGGGGATAGTGGATTAAAAATAATAATAAACGGTCTATCGGAAAATCTCTCCCCCCCCCCCTCCAGTTTTTCCTCTCTTTCTGCATTGTTCTCTGAGACAAATAAACGATTACAGGAAGACACCCTTGAAAACAGAAAGGTCACGTTACGGCAATAGTCTGGGCAGCGTAAATGTGAAGTCTGGAAAACGATTGACAGTTTGTGCGTGAGAGTGCAAAGTGCGTGCGAGCTTTTAGCAGTCTCAAAATAAAATTACACCCTCGCTTTACAAACAAACAAACAAACAAAAACTCTTCCAGTATCAAACCCCCTTCCCTAAAAATAAATCCCCCGTATAGCCAAAAGTTAAAACGCAGGGTTTTTGTTTGTTTTAATCTGTTTTGATACCTCTTAGGTGAAAAGGCAGAGGGAAGAGCGAATTAGGTTTGCTTGGTAAATTCTTCTGTGCTTCGTCGTTCGTGTGAACGGAATAACCTACCACTCCCGGGATAAAATCCCCCAGTGATTGACACCCGTGTGAAGCATTCGAGTGGAAACTGACAAGGGTGAAACCCTGACGCGATTCTGTTAATTCTAAGATTTCTTATGAATGGTTTGTGGACTGAGCTGAGAAAGAAGCAGAATGACGTTGTGCAGGTTAGAGAAAAGGTTACTTTAGGGTGTCGGTCGAAAAAAATCCTGCAGTAACTTCCGAGGTTTAATTCCATCTTCATCTGAGCTGATTTCTGAGCAGGAGGCTACAGTTGCATTGTTTCTGCAGGGGGCATTATTTAATAATTCGTGTGTTTGGAATTTAGGCTCCTTACTTAGAAGTAAACGTCTTAAAACAAAATTGAATTTACTCTCGAGTAATATACGTTGAATCCGGCCTGCAGACAAGTTCTCACCCACCCCCAATCTTAGGAAATTGAACAGAAACTCCTCCTGCTCTTTCGAGTGTTAGCTCAGCTCGAGTATTAGTCCCTCAGTTCATAAAAGAAGTAAGGCTACAATCTTTTGGGAGTCGCTTCTGTTGAACTCTGTGAGGCTTTTTTCTGAGTAGACATGCATGTCATTGCGCTGTTAGTGATGCCCTTTAAGCATTGGGGGGGGGGACCGGCCCCATTTCTCGTGGGCGAAAGATATTGCCTGACATATCAAGAGTTTTGCTCTTTTTTTTGTCTCACAACCTTGTACATGCTAGAGAGCTAAATCTGTCAATCTGCGACAGCAAGCACACAGTAAAAGGTCGTCTTGTTTTAGGTGGAGGTAGCAAAAGCTTTACCTAGTAAACCACCTAGGCAAAATTACCTGAGAGCAAATCCCATTGAACGCACCGGAATTTGACACTGAAGGTTTGCCCCACTTCCCTGGGGGTAGATTCCCTTTGAACTCAGCAAGACTGACTCCTGAGTATGCGGACACGGAGTTGCGCTCCGTGTTAGTACTCCTGGGGTCGGGCTGTTAATTGTGGCATCAGCCTCCGCAGAGCTGAGCCTGCTGGTCAGTGGGTTGAGCATGAGACTCTTAATCTCAGGGTCGTGGTTCAAACCCCACGCTGGGCAAAACGATTCCCACATTGCAGGGGTTGGACTAGATGACCCTGGTGATCCCTTTCACCTCTACCATTCTATGAGCTGTAAAGCTTCGTTGGCAGGTGGATGGATTTGGACTCAAAACTTCAGTGGGGAAACCGGAAACGAGGGGGGCAAAAAGGTCTGTGACATTTCGGCTCAAAAGTGTACGAGATATGGCCAGTGACCATTCACAACAGCAGTTAACTGGGTTGTCTCTAATCTTTTGCTCTGCTAAATTTATCATTGGTGTAGAGGGAGGGGGGCAGTCATAAATTGACACAGCTCACAGTCATATTTTTTCATTAAAAAAGACTTTTAATGCTGTTTATATTTCATTGAATACATACCCTAAGTCTATTTAATTAGTGTATTGATTGTTAAATTCCACACGGGCCGTTTTAATGTTTATGTAAAAATTTTGGGTTTTGTATGCTGCCTGTTTAGCCGTAATAAAAAACACTCATTCATTCATTCATCCCTTGGAGACATTTAGGAAGAAAGCTAAGCTTGGTGTATTCAGCAGCCCATGCCAGTGGACCATTTGTGCGCAAGTTAAGTACTCGCTCAGGCTCCAAACCGACCTCCTTACCGTCCTTGGACATTGCGCTTTATCCATCCCAATTATAAACGCCTGAAGTGCAACCTTAGTGCCACAGTGTTCAGTGGAAAGGATCGCTGCCGAAAAGCGTTTCTGTGCCTTTCTACGAGGACAATAGCGTTCTTTTTTTGACATGAGCAAATCCGCCCCCCCATTTATCCTGCCCCGCCTTCTAAAGCGCTCCGGGCGGTCTACATCTTTCTCTTTGCAACGGCCAAAACTCACAGCAGTGGTGTAGGCGGGGAGACCGGAATTACAAAGAAAGTCGTCACCACGTGCATTTTTGTTGCCGGGCAGGAATTCGAACCGGAGTCTTCTCCTCGAAGACCAATACCCTAACCACTAGGCCACGATACTTAGATTCATTTTTGTAAGCCGCTTTGAGAGCGTCTTTAACGGGGAAGCGACTTGTCAGCGCGCAGCGCAGCTGCAGGCTGGCTCTGCCCAAGCCTCCTTTGCTGCGCTGTTCCCTCTGGAGAGGCACGGCCTCGATGGAGCTATAATGGCTGGCATAGCGCCAATCGGTGGCCATCCAGCTCTCATCGCAGGTGGGGGCGAAAGGAAATGGACCGGCCTGGAGTTCTTAATCCAAACAAACAGGTCATTGGCTGGCAAAGGAGAGGCGGGAGGTCAAGAGAGTGTCAGCTTCGAACGTGGCCTTCCCTGGTCTCCAGGACGCATCGGGGAGCGCGCGGAGAGTCTAGGTTTACTAAGCTCTCTTGGCTTTCAAGACCCTGCTGCGCAGGCAAGAGGGACAGGTTGCTATTCGTGGTTATATTAACAAGGCTAGAGCTTCGCCTTCCTTCGTGGCACAAAGAAACAGCCCTGCTTGTAAACGTCAGGGCGAACGAATGGATTCCTTTCCTCCCTGTCCACTTGCCAAAAGCTCCAAGATCAAACAAAAGTATGTTTGAGGGTAGGGAGATCAGCTCCCATTTCTTGACTGCCTTTCTTCTCCTTCCCTCTTCCTTCTAAGCCTTCGTCGACTGTAGGGGAGAAATTACGAAATGATCTTGCCACCTTGGGGGTTTTGTGGCGTGGTAGTGGGAAACGATGGGGTGGAAGAAGAACGCTGACCGTCCCCCTTAGTTTTATTTTATTGTGCTATGGGGAGAGTGGCTATGGATGTGTTGCCAAGATCAACACGGCAGCGCAAGCAGCTCCGGAGTCTGGCAATCATTCCTTCTTCTGAAGATCAAAACTCGAGCTCGTCAACAAGCGGCGGTCAGGTTTGGATCTGGCTGCCTCCATGACATCATGCCAGTTGCAACTCTGCGGAACCCGGATGCTTTCCTTGTTAGTCACTTAAAGCTGGGTTTATGTGAAGGCTGGTGTTGCAGCCGGGAGAGAGGGCTCTTTGCTGCTTTGGATTAGGGCAACCTCACGCAAGGGATCAGCCCAATATACATGTCAGGCAAAAGAAGGAAAAGACAAGCGGAACAAGCCCCCACCGCCTGCAAAACAAAAAACAAAAACTCTCTGAAGCTGTGGGCAATAATGGGCCCGAAAGCAGCTCTTTAACAAGCGCCAAGCAAGCCATTTCATCGAGGGTAGAACTGATTCTGATTAAACGAGAGATTCTAGGATTCTTGACTGCACCAAGTTAAGGTTATTACTTTTCCCTCTCAAAAGAAGGGGGGCGGAGAGAGAGAGCCAGGACCTGGTTCAAGTTAGTTGTGACCAACAGTACTATCTTATACACATCTGTTGAGAAGTAAAGCCCATTGAGTTCAATAATTCTAACTGGGTATAGAATTGCAGCCCATCCAACTCAATGGGGCTTACACCCTTCGGATTGCACTGCAGGGCAATGAGGACCTGTATCCTTTACTGAGAGGAAGCCACGTTTGCTTTCCAAGGCATCAGGCTAGAAGCCGGCTGCAGAATGGATTGTTAGCTTGTTTCAATAGTATCTAGTCACAAAATCAAGTAACCTTAGCTTAAATTGAATCTGTTATGCCCCCCTTTTCTATGCCACAGTAGACAAAGAAAACAAGTGGTGCTTTTAAGCTTTTCCTTTGCCCCCAAAGGATTGAGATTTTAGACTTTCCATGCTAGGCTAAGGTTACTAATCAAGCATATGCTTACTGATCAGGAATACAGTTGCTGATTGGTCACATATTTTAAACTGGTAGAGCTTTAATTTAATTTCTGAAAGGGAGGAGGCTGTGCCCAAAAGATACAGGTCATTAAAATGCTTTAGCAATGGAGTACTTTTCTGTATGGCCAAGGGTTTCAGTTGATAGGTAATTATTTTTCCCAGTTTCAGACAATATGTGGATTCTTAGTCCAAGCGACCCCTTTGAATGGACAGGTCAGTCTAGGTAACAGGTCGCAGCCTCCACAATCTTCACATTCCTTGAATCAGGGAAAGTTTTCTAATACCTTTGGAAAACAGCAGATATGTTGTGCTATTTCAAGTCAAAAATAACTCAACCACTGAATGATACCAGAACATCACCCACAGATACTAGCTGAGGCTGTAAGCAATATGTACTTGGAAAGAATCCTTGATTTTTTTTATTTTTTAATAAAATTAATAATAATTACGGATGTCCATTCTAAAAAAACAAAAACCAGTGCTTGGGGTTACAGGATAAAACACCTCCCTCTAAAAATCTACAGTATACTTACAAATGACATGCTTTGACATTGTATTACCATCATCATATTACTCTTTACCCACGTGTGTGAACATGGGATAACTCCTCTTTATCTTCACAGACTCATGAGGCATTGTGACTGACCCAGGGAATTTTATTATTATAAACATAATTATTTGCCTAGTATAGTAATACTTGGCATAGTGCCTTTGCAAATTATGAAAGTGCTCCGCATATCTCTCGCTCTCTCATCCTTACACAACAGTCTTGTACTGTAGGCCAGTATCAATCTTTTCCTGCTGCAGATGGCTGGAGGTGGGGGTTGAGGCTGAAAGATAGGAGTGTGCAAAGGCCACTTGAAAAGTTCATGGGTAAAAGAAAAACTCAGCCTGGGACTGTCCTGCTCACAGTTCCTGGATGAATAGTGCAATTTAATACTGTTTAGTGATGAGAAAGTCCCACTGAGCTTCTTGTGGTTTACTCTCAGGTAAGGTAGAATGTAGACTTAAACCTTATGATATGCTAGGGGACCATAGATTGTAAATGGGATCACTGATGATCTGTCCATTGTAACCATCCATTCTGATGTGACTCTTAATAGACAGTATAGAGATCTAGAGAGTTCTTTCAAAACATCTTTATATATTTGCTAGGCAACTGCAGTATAATGACTGCTTAGACATTTACTTGTAAATACTCTTTGAAAGCATTTGATAAAGAAAACCCCTAGCAGTCAACAGCATGGCTAATAATAATAATAATTTATTTATACCCCACCCATTTGGCTGGGTTTCCCCAGCCACTCTATTATAAGGATATCACTTTTCTGCAGAGCCATTGGAGGCTTGCTTGGTTCAAAAGGAAAGACTCACCCCTTTGCAGAGGACCTCCAAGTTTCCCCATGTTCAGCCTGACACCCTTCTGGCACTGTCTGGTTAGGCTGCAGGGTGAGCGGCCCTGCGTCCTGACACTGACATTTGATTTAAAGCTTGCTTCATCAGAAATAAAAATAAATAACAAACATGACCGCAGACTGACATGAGCTGCAGCTTAAAATGCTGTGCGTGGATGATAGAACCACAAAAGTAAATAAATCTTCGGTACCTAATTGAAAGGAAGAAGAAAGCTGTTTGTATAAATAGTGCTTCAGACGGAGGAAAAACAGAACCCAATGACACGAGACAACTGGCGGTCCGTAGGCACATGTGTAGCTATGGGATGTCTGGGCGGCGCATTGGAAAGCTGGCTTGGCCAGCTGGGATGGACTCGGCCTGTTCAAAGGGAAGGAACCAGCCCTGCTTTTCCTCACACATTGAAGCACTGTCATGAGAGAACCCACAACAACATTTCCGTCAGTGACTGAGGTACCATGAATAATTATCCCGATGCTGGCTTACGCTTTTCCAAATTTTGACATTTGAGGGTATGTTCAGACAGTACTGTTATGCCCGGGATTGATTTCCCAATGGTTGAGTGAGGTATCTGTGGGGAGGGGTCCTCTTTTGAGAAATACTCACTAGGGCAGGTATGGGGGATCTAGATGAATAGTGTATAGATCAGAAATGAGGAGCAATGTTCAGCTCTAGGTCACATTCTCTTCTGGGCAACTTTCTGGTGGGTGAGGACAGAGGCAAAAGTAGGAAGAGTAACATATGTTTTTTGCGCATACGCAAACCTCTGTTTTTAGGAGTAATGCAACAAGGCTTGCAGTAAATTACCTGAAGCAGATGGGGATGGGGAACAGACAGAAAGGCAACCTATTATTCCAGTAACTATTTGTTGGTAATGTAGATCACTTCCACTCAGGCTTTACTTCCTTCCTGCTTTTTCTCCAGGTTCAGTCAGTATCATTATGAGTTAGCATGTGTTAGTGTTAACTTCTTGGCTCCATCTTGCCCACATGCAAAGCTTGTACAGTGGTACCTCCGGTTGCGGACGGGATCCATTCCGGAGGTCTGGTCAGATCTTGAGGTTTCTGCAACCTGAGGACCGCTTCTGCGCATGCCACACGGTGAAACCCGGTAAAATACTTCCGGGTTTGGCATGCGCACATTCTGAAGTTTACGTAATGAGAGGGTTACGTAAACGGAGGTACGTTTGGATTTGTCTGCCGTGAATAATAAGCCTGAAGTTTTCTTTTATCTCTTCAACCAGCAGTCTGGTTTTGGGCAGGGTAGATCACTTGGGGAAATTACTTTACTGATCAAATTGCAACCCAGCCAGAGGGTTTCCCACCTCTCATTTAGCCCAAGATCTGGTCCCAAAAATAGCCCTGGAAACACTTGCCAAACTTTTCCTTGAAAACATCCAGAGAAAGAGATTTCATAACTTTCCTCGGAAGCCAGTTCCACTGCTTGACTGTTTTCCTAGTCAGGAAGTTGATCTGATTTTTAACGTTACCCTCAGTTCTTGTTCTGGCCTCAGTGGACAAGTTTGAACAGTAATTTCTTTTCTCAGAATGTAAGTGCTAGTTTATAGGACACTGGGGTTCTTTGTGGAACTATGTCATGGCACTCAGGACAATGAGTCCATTCACAGAGACATACAGAGACATACCCAAGCAGTGCACTTTCAGTTTCCCTGCCACTGAGAATTTAGCATCTTCTTTCTACTGCAAGGTAATATGGGATCCATGGACAATTTTAGGAGCTGAGCTGGATTTTAAAGGGTTCAAATGTGATTTCAAAAAGTGCACTGCACTAGGTTATTTATTTACTCTGGCTTTGAGACAATCAAAGTGGGGTTCAGTGGGGGCAATTGGTATCCACCTATAGCTTCTCTGGTGTTGTGAGTCAGGCAGCAAATACTTTGGAGGATATTTACAGACATTCAGACACTGATTAGACCTGTTGTGGAGCTCAAATGTCTTAGCTGAACTCTGGCTCTTGCAGAAGCAATGTCTATGCTATCTGGGAGCTCTCCTAGGTCCTGTACAACTCGTCTTTTAGGGTAGATCCACACTATATATTGAAAGCATATTCAACACACATTTAAAACACTTGACTTCTCCCAAAGAAACCTGGGAACTGTTGATGTTGACCCAGTGTGCAGCAGCTGTGAAAAAGACAAATTTCATGCTAGGGATAATTAGGAAAGGAACTGAAAATAAAACTGCCCATATCATAATGCCATTCTCAGCCTTACCTGGGACCTTCTGCATGCAATGCAGATACCCTACATCTGAACTACAGTCATTGGTGATCTTTTTGATGCCAGGTGAGGGTCCCTCTCTTTTCTCAGACTTTTGAAATCAGTAAAATCTCAAACATTCAGCTTTTTTTATATATAAAATTGATTTGAAAGATTGTGGGTGCTACTTGAAATCTTGTTGCAGCTTGAAATGAATGTGTTCATTGAGCCATAATAACTTCTGCTAAATAAAAACCTCCAAGTGAAGGAAGCGTGCAATTTTTGTATTTTTGGGGGGGGAGGTCTTTTCTTTCTTCTTCTTTTAATCTTCTTTTTCTGTCAGAGTGAGGAGATGAAGAAAAACATGGTTGTGTGAGAGAGAGATTAAGATTAATGTTGAGAAAGAAGGCAATCCTTACAGATTTCTTTGCAGCACCTGCTAAAAGCATTCTTGGTTAGTCAAGCCTACCCAGATGCTTAGAAAAGTGGGTGTGAATTTTAATCAGTTTTATTACTTTAACTTCTTGTATGTTTTAATATATTGCAATCCTCCCAATTTTATCTTTTCGTAAACCATTTTGAGGTTTTTTACTATCAAGTGGTGTATAAATTTTATGAAATATTATTGATTATTATTAGTAGTAGTAGTAATAGTAGTAGTAGTAGATAGCTCAGTTAGGTAGAGCACGGTGCTGATGACGCCACGGTCACAGGTTCGATCCCCATAAGGGACAGCTGCATACTCCTGCATTACAGGGGGTTGGACTAGATGATCCTTAGGGTCCCTTCCGACTCTACAATTCTATGATTCTGTGAATTCCAAAGTTTGCATTACCTCGGAGACCCATACACTGAAGAACTCATGGCACTAAAATATTGCTCAATCTGCATCTATTGTATCAGTTTGTTTCCAAGTACAGTTCAAAGTGCTGGTTATTTCCTACAGGAGGTTATAATTCTGTTAAAGCATATTTTTTCTAATCATTGCAATCTTACTTTATTGAACTGAATGGCATGTGGTATTTGATTGTGTGCATTGGCCTGGTCACAAAATCTGTCTGTAATGAGGTGTGTGGGATCCCACCAGTGTCTTGTGCCTGGAACAGACTGATGTGTAGAACTAGCTCGCCATGTGTATGTATTACTGAAATGAGCCCCGACAGTGATTGTTATGAACTGGCCCACAATCTGGACTGTGCTATGCTATGTTTCAGTGGTCTAGCTGGATTTTGTGAGCAAATCAAAGACCAGCATAGGGTTCTGGGTCTGCAGAGTGGTGCATAGCACTGACAACAGCTGTAGAAACAATTGGAGGTCTTATGCCTGAAATGGAAGGCAGAATGCCAGATGGCAGCCAACCAGGCCAGGTTCAAATAAATACTGCAAAGGAACAAGAGACAATCCTTTAGGGAGATACATATTTCATTTTATTGTATCCCAAATCTACTCTTGGGCTCTCAGACTTCCACCCACAAACTTCTGCAGAATGGCTCTTAGCTATTTTGGAGCAGGAAAACTGATCCACTGAGCATTTGATGGGCTGCTTAGCCTCCTCTGTCATTTTTCTTGTCTCTCTTCATAATCCCTATGCATTCCAGAAACAGCCAGTAGAAAGGGAGAATTTCTGTTTGTTTAATTGCTTCCTGATAATTTGACAGCTACTACTTCAGTTTCATTGGTTAATCTATATTTAAGTAACCTTACTTGTCAAAGGCAGCATAATTGTTTGACTCTACTTGCTTCCCAAGCTATATATCATCCCTATCAAAATTAAACAATTCCAACAGACCTTTCTAGGAGGCAGTTCCCTTACATTTACTCCAGAGCAGCAGCACTGAGGTCAATGGGACAATTTCAGGGCAAGAAGTTGAGTTCCATGTGGTTGCTTTATCATTGATAAAGCACCTAGTATTAAATAGTGGGTTTTTTAAAAAATAAATAAAAAATAACCAAACCCATCCTTCCCAACCAATGTTCAACTCTTGGCAAAATATCAATAAAAGGCAGGTTTTGCTCTGCAGGCCATGAAAACAGAAGTGTGCTTCAGCAACTTTTCAGAATTCCTTTTTTATTTACTGGTAATAAAAATCCACATGCTCTTTGATGTGCATATACTATTGATAATGCGTATAATTGCTATATTTTCAATGGACAGATGTTTTACGCTTTTAAAACAGCAGCATTTGAAAAGGATGCCCATGTATGCACAGGTGGCAGCATCACACCTGAAAAGAAACCTCATTCAGTTGTGATGCTCCTATGGGATACTGAACACAGGGTTATGAATTGGTAACACTACCTGGGAGACGTGGCCCTGGAAGTTGTGTGCGTGGGCATCACAATTTATTGAATTATCAATATTTGTACTTATCACCAAGTCAAACCATGGTTTTGTTGTGGGTAGCCCAGCAGCAGCAGAATTGGGTGAGGACTGAAGCAGCCACAATTTTCACTTTGTGTAACTACACAGTTGTTTGTTCACATGTAGCCATGGTTTGGCTGAGTGTTATGGGTGAACCGAGTCACCGAGTCTCATCACTGGTCCATTTAGCTCAGTACAGCCCACACTAACTGGCAATGGCTATCCAGGATTTCAGGCAGCATTATCTCCCAACTCTGCCTGGAGATGCCAGCCCAGGATTGAACCTGGCTGCTCCACCACTGAGCTACGGTCCTTTCTCAAATAAATATACTGTATCTGCAGCAATGATTAGGATTTTTCTCTTATGCACAGCAGTTGGACAAAACTCAGCAGATTCCCCTGGTGGATCTGACATACACTTGGAAAAGGAATTAACATAAGTTTTAAAATGTAAAAATGTCTGTCTAGACTAGAAGCAGTCAAGAACCTGGGACTGGACCTCCTCTCTACGGAATTTTTAACTCAAGAAAAAAAGTTCCAGGAAAATAATTTTTGGGGGTCAAAGAAGAGTCGCAGGCCAAGTCAGAATTCAAGGGTTTCAGTTGCTGCACCTCCCAGAATTGGAAAATAATTAAACTTCTTTTAATGAGAATGTTCAGCCCACGTTTTCCTGTATTTATGGCTGATCCTATTATTAGACACAGTGAGGCAGCCAGCTCAGGTGCTGGGGAGTGGCAGTGAGATGTCAGAGGATGGAGCTGTGTGCATCAATAGGTTTGTCCTGCATCCCACCAGCTTGCTTGCTGCACATGGTGATGGTGAAGGATACTATCTCACTGACCATGCGGAGGAAGATTTGATTGCCAATCTTATTACAATCTCATATACAGTGTGTGTGTGTGTGTGTGTGTGTGTGTGTGTGTGTGTGTGAAGGCGGCATACTGTTATTTATTTTAAGGTAGCAAAATGTATTGTGCTGGCATTTTTACTGGGCACTAGGAGGGTGGCATCTGATTGAGTCTGGGCTTCCTAGGGGGGAAACACACCGCTCCTCCAGTCTCCTCTAGAGACAGTGTGGTGTAGTGGTTAAGAGCGGTAGACTCGTAATCTGGTGAACCGGGTTTGATTCCCCGCTCCTCCATATGCAGCTGCTGAGTGACCTTGGGCCAGTCACACTTCTCTGAAGTCTCTCAGCCCCACTCACCTCACAGAGTGTTTGTTGTGGGGGAGGAAGGGAAAGGAGATTGTTAGCCGCTTTGAGACTCCTTAGGGTAGTGGTAAAGTGGGATATCAAATCCAAACTCTTCTTCTCTTCTTTTAAAACACTCAATTACTAGTGTTACACACCACCCCAATCTCCAGATGCCAAGAGAGACTCCAGTGGTTCTTGTGCTTTCCCAGGATATGGTTTCCTTGGAATGAAGGTCACCCTGTGGTATCTTTAGGATATATGACTTTTATTTACACATATGTACAATCTGAGCATAGGATGGAGGCGCTCACACAGCTTTAGCACCCCAAAAGATCTTGCTCATCCATTATCCACAACTTTAGATCTATCCCAGAGCAAAACAGGTTCCTGCCCCCTCCCCTCTCCAGCTGTCAGCATCCATCCGTTTCCAGCTCTCATACACACTCTACTCTGGCAATTGTTCTCCTAGGTACCAACCAGTTGGTGGCAGGGAAGGACCACCCATTTGCTTCTGTGGCACAGAGCAACTTCTTTGCATATGCTAATAGTGGTGCTTAACTAGCTAGCCAAAGCCATTACCTAGACAAAGGAACTGGTTTGGCTAGCTTGCTCTTAGGCATTCTTATGCATAGGGTATCATCTAGGCCAGGCATCCCCAAACTCGGCCCTCCAGATGTTTTGGGACTACAACTCCCATCATCCCTAGCTAACAAGATCAGTGGTCAGGGGTGATAGGAACTGTAGTCCCAAAACATCTGGAGGGCTGAGTTTGGGGATGCCTGATCTAGGCTGACCTCCCCTACCTCATAATGCTATGGTTCTCTATAGCTTTTTCTGAAGGATAGGTGGTTGTTCTGAAGCTGCAGACAGGGCTTTATAAATAATTAGATGACAATTTTTTAAAAAATGTTGAAGGTGCAGGTATTCCAGAAAAGGTATACTAAGAGGCTAGATCCCAAAGGAATAAATATAGGCAAATCCACTTTCTCCCCTACATTTTCTTCTTCTTCTTCTTCTTCTTCTTCTTCTTCTTCTTCTTCTTCTTCTTCTTCATTACCACATTTGGACAGTCAGATCTTTCTTATATTATTTTCTTTTCTCCATTTTTTCTTGACAACTTTCTTCTTCTTATCAGAATCATTTCCAGTGTAAAAGAATGATGGGAGATAAAGTTAGGTCTGAGTAGTGGATTGGAATAAAAATCTGAAGGAAAAAGCATTATACAGTGGTACCTCGCAAGACGAATGCCTCGCAAGACGGAAAACTCGCAAAACGAAAGGGTTTTTGGTTTTTTGAGTTGCTTCGCAAGACGATTTCCCTATGGGCTTGCTTCGCAAGACGGAAACGTCTTGCAAGTTTGTTTCCTTTTTCTTAAAACCGTTAATACAGTTGTGACTTGACTTCGAGGAGCAACTCATAGCACGCGGTGTGGTAGCCTTTTTTGAGGTTTTTGAAGACTTTGGTGATTTTTGAAGCTTTTCCAAAACTTTTCCGACACTGTGCTTCGCAAGACGAAAAAAAACCGCAAGACGAAAAAACTCGCAGAACGAATTAATTTCGTCTTGCGAGGCACCACTGTATAGTGGAAAGGAATAAAGACCAGAGAAAGGCAAGGACTGTGTGTGTGTGTGTGTGTGTGAGAGAGAGAGAGAGAGAGAGAGAGAGGGAGGAAGAATGACCAGGGCAAAGCAGTTACCAAATCACTTTTGTGGGACAAATCTAATACTATGTTTTCATATGAGACACTGATAAAAATTACATCATGATCTTTGTGTTTAAGCATGCATGTTTTCTAGTAAGGTAAAGGTAATGCATTGCTGCCGTGCTAGGGAATCATAGCCTTAACTGAGCTACACTCTACATACACCTACCTGGGAGTAAGTCCCATTGAATTCTGAGTTGACATGTGACATGTGTATACAATTTGTGGACTGCACTCTTTAATGCTGTATAGATGCACCCTGCATTTAGAGCACATGGCTTTCCTCTAAGAATCCTGGGAACTGAGGTTTGCTATGAGTGCTGGACAGCTGTGGCCAAGATTCTTGCACTGCGGGGGTTGGGCTAATGACCCTCTGGTTCCCTTCCAACTCTATGATGCTATGATTCTAATTGCAGCTCTGTCAAGAGTAAACTATAGTTGCCAGGATTCTTTGGAGAAAGTTGTGTGCTTTAAATGT